CGAGAGTTGGAGCCGTGCATCGGACTCACTGCTGTCAGCACAGAGCCTGCACGAGAGCCTCTGTCTCCCTCTCTCTCTGCCACGCTCCTGCTCCCGCTTCCTTGCTCTCTCTCTCTCAAAATTAAACATTTTAAAAAACAAAATGAATAATGTATGATATTCTGATTCTTCGTCCTTTCTTTGAGAACCAGGATTCTCACTTCTTAAAAAAAAAAGGTACAATTATAAAGTAAATGATGAAAACTTTGTAGACTAGAATTTGAATTATTAGTACGAACTCATGATATGTTTTTCTTAAAAAAAGTATGTATCTGCTTATACATAGACAGTAAAGGGAGGAAAACTGTTAATTAACAGTCAAATCATTTATGCAGAAAATCCCAAGGAATATACAAAAGTACTACTAAAAACTAATAAGTAAATTTAGCAGTTTCATGGGGTATGATCTAAGATCAGTAAACAAAACTCAGCAATATTTCTAACTAATAAGAATTAGAAATTGAAGTTTTCAAAAAGTACTATTTATAATCACATCAAAAACATTAATACTTTAGGGATAAATCTAACAAAATACAAAGTTTTGTGTATAGTTGAGATAAAATCTAAAATGAAGAGATGCACTATGTACGTGGAGTGGAAGACTGATTATTATAAAGATGTCTGCTCTTTCCAAATTGATCTATGGAGACAGCACAAATCCAACCAAAATCCCAGCAGCCATTTATTTTTAATTTTTTTATTTCTAGGAGAGAGAGAGAGAGAGAGACAGCGTGAGCAGGGGAGGGTCAGAGAGAGAGGGAGACACAGACTCTGAAACAGGCTCCAGGCTCTGAACTGGCAGTCAGCACAGAGCCCGACGCGGGGCTCGAACCCACGAACCGCGAGATCATGACCTAAGCGAAAGTCGGACGCTTAACCGACTAAGCCACCCAGGCGCCCCAGCCATTTTTTTTTTTAAGAAATCAGTAAGATAAGTTTCAAATTTATATGGAAATGCAAAGGACCTAAAATAGCCAAGGACTCGCACTGTCTGATTTCAAGATTTACTAAGAGCACCAAAGGATGGGTCAGTGTGGTGTTGGCGTAAGGCTGGGCCTGGATCCATCAATAGGACAGAATAAGAGTACAGAAACAGCCCCTCACACATGTCTGTTGTTTAATGTTTGGAAAAATGTTTACTTATTTTTAATGGGGGGAGAGGGGGAGGGGCAGAGAGAGGAGACAGGATCTGAAGCAGACTCTGCACTGACAGAGAACCTGATGCAGGGCTAGAACTCATGAGCTGTGAGGTCATGACCTGAACCAAAGTCGGACGCTTAACCGACTGAGCCACCCAGTCGCCCCTGTTAATTTAATTTTTAATTAAATTTTGTCAGAAGTTCCAAGGCAATTCAATAGGGAAAGGATAGTTTCAGCTAAAAAATATTGGAACTTTTGGCCATCTAAATGCAATAAGATTCATTTCAACCCTTTTTATACCATATTTTTAATACCATAATTTTAAAAATCAGCTTTTAAAATAGATTACAGACCTAAATGTAAAACCTATTAAACTTCAAGAAAGAAACATACGAGCAAATCTCTGTGTCCTGTTGTTGGTGAAGATTTCCTTCATAGGGCACAAAGCATGACCCGTAAAAGAAAAAAAAAAGATAAATTGGATTTCATCAAAATAAATTTGTTCTGCTCTTTAAAACTGTTAAATAGAGGAAAAGATAAAACATGGACTAAACGGAAATATTTGCACAATATATTTGTTAAAGGACTATGTCCAGGATATAAAGGGCCCACCCTTCAATATTAAGGGAATTGGTAACTAAAAAGTGGCCAACAATTTCAACCCGCAGCTTCGCACAGAAGTGTAGTGCTGGCCAGTAAGCACGTCACAGGATATTCGGCGCCATTAGTGTTTAGGGGAACACAAATCACAGTGAGGTGTCCCCATATGGTTTTAGAATAGCTAAAAGTTTAAAGAGTGACAGTTCCAAGTGTCGATGAGGGTGTGGAGCCACTTGTAACTGGTACGTTTTTGGTGGGGAATGTAAAACGATACAGCCGCTTTTGAAAACGGCGTGGCTCTTCCTGGTACACTTAAACACCGCTCCAGCAATCTCCTAGCTAATATTGACCCAAGTAATGAAAATATACGTCCGCCCAAAGGCTTCTGTGTGAGCAGTCAAGTCACGATAGCCAAAAACCGAAAGCAAATGTCTTACCCGTTGGTGAATGGGTACATAAGTTGGGGCCCGTCCACACCGTAGAATACCGCTCTGCGGGACAGAGAAACGCATCGGAGTTTCTGGTTCTGGGACGAGTGAACACGCTTTTCCTGCTAAGTACAACCCAACCCCTGCCTACTGTGCATAAAGCAGGTTGTAAAATGTGGAGAGAGAGAGGCAGATCAGCTGGGCACAGACCCAAACCCAAGTCAAGCTGGTTTTCTGTAGCCAAACCGGGAGAAGGGCAACCTAGCAAGACAACTAGACAGCAGCTGCCCTGCTTCAGCCAAAAACTTTGGAAAACTGCACCCTGTCCCCTCCTTTCTCCGGCAGAGCCTGAGTGTGGGGTTAAGACTTGCCCCTGGCCAGCCGTAACAGGGGACCCTCTGGTATCTCCTCCTCCACTTTCCTTGGGGGGGCGGGGGGGTCCGGATCAGGGCAGGTGAAGGCCTGGGCAGAAGGCCTCACTTCCCAGCGGCAGTAAGGAAGCCTCCCTCCCCACGGAATCAGTGGAGGCTTGTGGGGAGCACTTGTGTGGGGAGCACTTGTGTAGATCTTGCCCCGTTCTAATATCCATTTCTAGGAATGTTACCTTTTTAGGGGGCTTTATAGATAAAACCTTTCTTCAGCTGTAATTTCTCCATGGTGATTGCATGCACATTGGGAAAGCTGCTGCTGTCTGTAGACTCCTACCACCTCTCGTGTATGATAGTTTTTCAGTTAGATTTCTTTGGCTATGAAGGTATACAGTCTTATAATCTGCAACTAGAGATACATTTGCTTCTTTTCTGTTTTTCTCCCATTAGTTTATTTCTCATAATTGTGTGGCTTGTATAGTGCTTCCCAATCATTTCACATTGTGGCAATAATGAAAATTATATTTTTAGTGTATGTTAGCATAAATGGGGAATGCTTTGTGAGGCCAGGGGGCCCAGCCCAGGGTGTAACTATCCCAGTGCTCTGCCTGACTTGTCTGAGCTGGGGGTGAAGAAGCCTCCCTAAAACAATGCTTTAAAACAAAAATCACGAACTTGCTTGTTTTGTTCCTAAACTTCAGTGGGAATACTTTGTTAGTGTTTCTCATTAAATTATGCCGGTTTGAGGATTGAAGTAGATATATTTTAATTTATAAAGGAAGTATCCAGGTACTTCTGTCTCTTTTATCAACAGATTTTAGTCAAAAGTGCTTATTGACAAACATTTCTTAAGCATTGCTGCTGTATGCCAGGCTTTAGAACTAAAACAGGGAATAAGGTGAGAGACACGACAGGAAAGAACACAAGTCCAAGTAGACTTGAACTCAGATCCTGTCTACACTACATGTACTAGTTTTGTGACTTTAAGCAAGTCGTTTAGATATTTTGAGCCTTCGCTTACTTATCGGTAAAATGATTCTAAGACCCGATTCTAAGACCCGATTCCACGCCTGTGCAGTCCAGTAGGGAGAGACAGGACATATCACCAAGTAATTGCAAAAAAAATAAGGTGGCATAGTAAAGTCGGAAGAGTGAGCAGTGGTGATATAAAGGAGTGTCTGCTCTGCCTAAAGAGGGACTCGGGAAGGCTTTACAAAGGAGGCAGTATTTAAACTAGGCCATGGAGTATGAATTGGGGAGGCACACAGCACATGTGAAACTGCTGGATGCATTTAGGAAACTGCCACTTGTTCGAGACAGTTAGACTACAGGTATGGGCAAGTGACAGACTGGAGAGGTGGAGCACTGAGGGCCTGTGGTTGCTACCCTGAAGATTTTGGACTCTATTCTGTAAAGAACTGGGAGGTGTTAGAGAAGATCCAGCCATCAAATGTGCTGGCGGTGAGTTAAAAGCGATACTTCAAAGTCTCTTTAGGCCATTATGTTTGAAGAGGGGCTGAAATAAGGCAATGGGAAAAGTTGAGGGAGGTGACAGATTTGAAAAGGCCTGGATAGCAGAATTGACAGGACCTAGAGGCCATTGGACCATCTGGAGAGAAGGAATAGATAGCAATTCCCAGGGTTTTAAGCTAGGAATAAAAGGCACTGTAAAAATTACAGGGACAGTTTCCTTTATGTTTTTCTATAGAGAAAGACAAATTGTCTTGAGTATAGTTTTCACGAAGTTCGGTAAGAACATCCCAGAATGCGCACGTGAGTATGTCCCGTGCAGGAGAGTCCTGGCTTTAAGGAAAGAGCTAAAGAAAACATAACTATAAACATACTGAGAGGCTTAAAAGTAACAAAGGTGTGAAAAAAATCTTAATGTGATTGGTAGATGAGAAAGAAAAATTTTATGTTTAGCATTTTAGTGCTTTTAAAGTGTGCAGTCTCCTCATATGTGGAACTTGAGAAGCTTAACAGAAATCCATGGGGGAAGGGAAGGGGGGAAAATAGTTAAAACCAGAGAGGGAGGGAGACAAGCCATAAAAGACCCTTAAATACAGAGAACAAACCGAGGGGTAAGGGGGGGGGCAGAGAGGGGAAAGTGGGTGATGGGCACGAAGGAGGGCACTTGTTGGGATGAGCACTGGGTGTTGTATGTAAGCGATGAATCCCAGAATCCACCCCCAAAACCAAGAGCACACTGTATACGCTGTATGTTAGCTAACTTGACAATAAATTATATTTTAAAAATAATAAATAAATAAAGTGTGCAATCCTGAATTTGCATTTGTGTTTATATATTATAACTAAATTTTATTTGTGCGAAAAAGATGTTAAGGTGAATAGTTAATCTGAAATAACATTTATGTACAAAATGTTTACAGTATATTATTTATTCACTGTTTTTCTTCTATTCTAGTTACTCTCTCTGGAAATGAAGAAAACGGTAAGGCACTTTAAGTCTCAATTTAAGTAGAATGCTTATGGTATCCTCATGCTTTTATTTAGTGATGACTGTATGTGTTTTTGTCTTCAGAAAGAAAATCTTTGTTTTTAAAGTTTAAGTAGGAGATACAGTATTGGGTTAATTCCTATTCAATATCTTTTCATTTGCAGTGTTTATATATATAAACTGGAGTAGCTGTTAATTTTGTAAGGCACGTACTACCCAAAGTTCTTTGATATATTTATGTACATATTTATGCCTTGTATGTTCTTCAGAACTTTTGATAGTAGTAATTCAAAGATTCTTCTTTTCTTTTTTTTTTTTTTTAATGTTATTTATTTTAGAGGGACAGAGAGAGCATGTGGGGGGAGGGGCAGAGGGAGACAGAGAGTCCCAAGCAGGCTCCACCCTCAGCGCTGAGCTGACGCAAGGGCCCAGGACCGTGACATCATGACCTGAACCAAAATCAGAAGTCGGGCGCCCAACCAACGGAGGCATCCAGGCGCCCCAAAGATTTTTACTGTCAGTTCTAGCTAGGGTTGAGGAGGGGATTTTGTGTCATAATGCCCAAACTTTATTGATGGTTCTCTTGATAATGTGTTTGTTGAAAATAATACTGCTCACAGACATTTTACAAAATAACCAAACTAAATTTGTAAATTGTATTACTAGTTCATTTTCAAAGGGAATTCTGCTTTTTTTGTAACAACTAGTCAAGAAGATAATGCCTGGAGGGAAAAATCATTGCTCAGTATCTCACCAGGATAAAATAAAATATTAAGTTATTGAGATCAGATTTCAAAAATAAAATTTGATTTGAGGTACAAAATCCAGAGGATTTCTAAACCAGTTGAAGAGTTAGAAATTATTAATAAATATTTATTCTTATTGGAAACAGGCATTAAGCATGTAAATCTCAAGTTGCTTTGAATCTAATTTTTCAGCTCTAGCCAGGGCTGAGGAGGAATATAGACTTACCCTGGGTAGGCTTGATTTTCTTCCTTTAAATCAAGACTATTTCCTATTTATAGCACAGATACAGAAAGCAGAGGATTTCTGAAGTATTTATAAAAGAACATCTAACTTGTCTCATTATTTCTTGGGTCTGTTTTGGCCATGTCTTTCAAAGACTCTTTTGATGAATTTTTTTCTTTGCTTGTTTTTTTTTAAATTCATTTACAAGTGATTTTTGAATCAGACTTTTTGATTTATAGATTTTTTTGTTTTGATTTAATTTGCTTAGTTAATTAACATTTTACTTTGTCACTTCTAACCAATGGTTTAGAGCATATATATGTGACCAGCAGTTTTCTTACTAGTAGTCACATTATTTCTGATTTATTTAAAAGCAGTAATTTCATCAGGGCACCTGGGTGGCTCAGTCAGTTGAGCGTCTGACTTTGGCTCAGGACATGATCTCACAGTTCATGAGTTCGAGCCCCAGGTTGGGCTCTGTGCTGACAGTTGAGAGCCTGGAGCCTGCTCCGGATTCTGTGTCTCCCTCTCTCTCTGCCCCTCCCCTGCTTGTCTCTCTCTCTCTCAAAATTAAAAATAAACATTAAAAATTTTTTAAATAAAAGCAGTGTTTTTCATTACATTATAATGTGATAATTTCCATTTGTTAAGTGCTTATTATATTTCAGGCATTATGCTAAGAGATTTATCTGTTTTGTTTTTTTTACTGAGGGTTAAGATTTTTTTAAAGCAGAAACCATTTTGTTCTTGTGGAGAGCAGAAAAACTCTAAAAATATTTTAAATGTCTTTAAAAATATTTTGATAGGATATTGTTTTATGTGCCGACTTTAGTTGTAAGTAACTAAATGATTAAGAAGTTTAAAGCACCTCAAGGTTACCAGTTATCTCAAAGCTATACAGTAGTATACAGATGAAGAATGACAAACTTGATTGAATATGGGGGCCAGGCAAAAATATAAATAGGTGAAGCGAGCGAGCTGAAATTAATACCGCGACTCAGTAAATGCCTCCGTGTTCGTATAACTACTGTAGGAGACTGAGCTCCTGTATACTTTCCAAAGGAAAATCAAATGAAGGCCTGATAATGTATCCACATTAGGTAGTCCATGGGGTTCAACCTGAAGGGAGCAGATATTTTGAGAAACCAGAACTTTCAATGAGGATGACAATCAGTTTTAGTGGACATTCAGAGGAAGGCAGATTTGAAGATAGATGGAGGCTGTGGGAAGGATTTCATTTGGGCATCAGATGTTGGCTCTGAAATCGAATGTTACTAAGATGATGGGGAAAGTGAAGGAAAACACACTTCTAGGTATGACATAGTGAAAAGAACCGTGGGTTTTTATCAAGCAGGCATGGGTTTGAATTCTGGCTTTGTCGTTTACTAAGTGACATCGGGCAAGACATTAAATTCTCTGAGCCCCAGGTTTCACATTTGTAAACTGAAAGAATACCTTACACGACTATCGGGAGAGTTAGAAATAAGGTGCCCATTATATACCTTCAGGAAGGCTGTCACTATGTGGACTTGGTGACCTGAGTCACTCTGGTCTAATGTGGTTACTAGGAAGTCCCAGTGGTTGACAGCATACATCAGCCATGCAGTGGAGCTGTCTCCCAGCAAGGTCACAGCCAAGGTGATACAGTGAACGACACTTCTCACACCTGCCATTGAGATGGGCCAGAGGCACAGAGACCCGTTGGCACTGGCGGTGAACCAGATAAGCCACAGGTTATGAGCCGTGACATCGAGAGTGAAAATACCGACAGAGAGGGTTTACTTTGAAAGAGATTTTGGGAACTGGACTTTGAAGCGCTCTGTGCTGACTACCCGTGCGACGTGAGGACTCCTTGGGCCCTGGCTTCCTGGGCCAGGGAGCTGCAGACTGGTGGCTCTGCGCCCCCAGCCACACACACACCAATGTCACTGCAAAAGAAAAGGCTGGGTCAGATGAGTGTTAATTGTTTAAAAAAAAAAAAGAAAGAAAGAAAGAACTTTTTTTAACTGCGAGTGAAAGAAAAAATAACCTCAGACCAAAGGAAGAATGGCACTTTGAATTCAATACATGTTAGCTTTATAAAAACTTCACTACATTGTTCTTAGTGTTTCTCACTTCACTCCAACCAATGAAAACTTTTATCACTTCTTAAACTTGGGAAACACTGAAATAGGGAACATGCAAAAAGAACCAAATTTTGAAAGGCAATTAAGATTCTTGGATAGTAATCAATAATAGCCTGTACTGGGGTGCCTGGCCGGCTAAGTCAGTAGAGCATGCGACTCTTGATCTCAGGGTTGTGAGCTCAAACCCCACGTTGGGTGTAGAGATTACTTTAAGAAATAGCCAGTATTTATTAAGGATTTATTATGTGCCAGGCACTGTTTTAAATGTTTTGCATGTATTAGGCCATCAGTATTGAACAGCTAACTTTAATGAAACAAATTAAGGGCTTTAACTGAAGTCTGAGCAGATTTGGGGCGGGGGGAGGGAGTATAGTATGAAGACGTAATAGATTCCCAGAGTCATGGAGAAGGCTTACGTGGAAGAGGTAATATTTGATCTGAACTTTAAAAATGAGTAGAATTGCAAACTTTTATGCTTGTGTCTACTTTGTTTTGTTCAATGGGTTTGTGGTGTCCCGTTCCAAATGCAAAAAGAGTTCAAGCACCTGGTAAATAGTCCTTGTTTCCTATGGAAACCAGTCCTACTACAGTCACATAGAAACACTGCAGAACACAACAAAAAGCTCTGAATTTTGTCTGTGAGTTAAGATTTGGAGATGAGGATGTTAGAATGATACACGAATCTACTTGGGAAACAGTTATGGCAGGACTTTTAAGTGGCTGAAAATTTTGGGGTTCACCCTATGTTGAAAGGAGAATGGACAGCATGACTTTTCTGGACAGTCCAGGAGCTAAGTTTTTAGATGACTCTTTATTCACTGTGATGGGAACCTCTGGTATTACTTTCGGTTTATAGTTCCTTGGATTTCATGTTCATAATGATGGATTCTGCCTTAAATAATTTTTAAATCATCTACAATGTAACTTTGAGAAAGAGCTTGAAATACAGTGAGGAGGAGGTGTCTTTACTTATAAATGAGGCTGATAACCCTTAAATGCAGGAATTCTACCTATTCGTAATGTTTTGTCATGCAGATAACAGAGTTTACATATTTGATGTCTTCAGTAGATTTTAATTATTTATTAGATTAAACCTCCTGACCCTAAATATTGTGTTTTAATGTAATGCTTCTTCCTGTTTTCACCTGGATTCAATGAAATGTTATTTGTTTTTATTTACCAGGAAAGGCCGTTGTTTACCTTGTGGCTTTCCATCTGTTCTTTGTTATGTTTGTATGGTCCTATTGGATGACAATTTTCACATCTCCCGCTTCCCCCTCCAAAGAGGTAAATTTAATGTTGGTAAATTGCCAAATGCTGTAGCTAATTATGGAATTATTTTCCCTGTGTTACCTTCGTTAAAACTTTATTACATAATGCATTTGTTCTGTTTCCGTTCATGAACTTGCTTGGTGACTCCACATCGTGAACGTGAGTCACCAGCCTGGGCTCAGGTACAACCCGCATAGCACACTAAGATCAATGATAGTGCTAAAGTTTGCTTATACTGGTGTTTTTCTGCCTTGCTGTATTTTCTTACAGACATACTTTTTTTTATTATTGGAGTAAAAAATCTTAAAGGACAGAACTGATTTAGAGGCATGGAGTTTATTTTTAGACACCTTAACGTATTTTCTCAGGCCTGAACGCATGTGCTGCAACTAAAGAGAGTTTTGATCGCGGGAAACAACTTGAGTAGGGGTCCCGTGTGTTATACTTTAGTATGGTTAGTATTTCTTCTAACCTGAGGTTCCGCTGGGAAAATAATGGGAGTAGATATTTATGTAGAATAAGTTTTAAGACCAGTATGTTTCTCGTGCCTTGACATAGCTGACTGACGTTCGGTATAGTTAGATGGCGAAGAATGTGCTCTCCAGTGTTAGGATTTCCTGAGTGTGATTTTTCTGCTCTAACACATTACTTAATGTCTCTGAGCCTCGGTTTCCTCATTGGAAAATGGAGCTAAGGATAGTGCCTGTTTCCGTAAGACATTTGTGAGGCTTAAGTGAGCTTCGTTCACGTAAAGCTTTGAACATAGTAGCTGCTACATGGTCGGCAATCAGATATTAGGTGATGATGATAATTATTTCCCCTCATATCAAATTCTTTAAAAATTATAGACCATAAGTTTAAAAATAATCCCAGCTTTCATTTAACTTTTTATAGAGCGCACACACAGAAAAGCACATCCGTAAGTGTAAGTTGCTGAAGTCACACACCGAACACCCTGTGGTCACCACCACCCCGGCCGCAGAAGCAGGACACTCCTGGCGTCTTTTATGCCGCTTCATGCTCTTTCCACTCACCCCTTCACGCAAACCACTCTCCTGCCCCCCGTTAGCATCAGTTTGTTTTGCCTGGTTTTGCACTTTATGTAAACAGAGTCATTACACTCTGTGTGTTTGTGTGTCTGGCTTCTTTCATTAACATTCTGTTTGCGAGATTCATCCGTGTTGTTGTACGTAGTTGTGAAGCATTCATTCTCATTATGGGTTAGTGTTCAGTTGTGGTAAATAACAGATTATTTAAGTGGTCTGCTGTCCGTGGGCAAGGACATGTGGGGGGCTTCCAGCTTAGGGCTGCCATGAACATTCTACTGCGTATATATCACACACACACACATGCGTATTTACAGACCTACACATAGCGTTCTTTCAGGGAGATGCCTGGGCCCTATGTTGTATGTAATTCAGCGTTAGGAAAATGCCAAACGGTTTTTGCCCTTTTTTTTCTGTTGAGTGCTTTTATTTTAGCAATGAACACATCGCTCAAACTTAGTGTTTCTTCATTCTTTAGACATTTGGTAGTAATTAGTCTACTTTAAAGTTACGTTACAAACGTCCATCTACATCTTAAGCTCTGAGTTGGAAAGGAACTAATTTTACTTGATCATTGAATGCTAGTGATGCCCATTGAAAATAGAGCATGTGCAGAAGTAGATGGTTCTCCTTATAGGAAAGAAAAAATAGATTAAGAAACCTGGTTGGTACTACTGTTGAGAAGCAGTACAGTGTAGAGGTGAGGGACTCAGACTGGCTGCAGACCACCCGGGTTCAACAGCTCTGTGCCTCTGCTCCCTCCTGGCTGCGCGGCACCGGAATCTCGCCTCCGCTCTCTGTACCCCCCTCTCTCCTGTGGAATGAGGAGGATGGATAGTCGTGTATGCCTTACGGGATTGTTGTAAACATTGAACAGATTAATAGTATATGTGGTTAGTAATGTTTATAATAATAGTATGTGGTTAATAGTGTATGTAAAGGGCTCAGAAGACTACACAACACATAGTAAGTGCCACTTAAATGTTATTTACTTATTTTGGTGGTTGTTTTGTCAAGTTGCATCCATGTAGCATTCGGCCCAGGGCTTAAGCCTGCACACGCACTCCCATTCTGCACGCTCCCCTGTCCCGAGAAGCTCGGCGGCGGCCCCCACCCTCCCCATCATAGAACTTACCGTCCAGCTTCCTAATTGCCTCCTGACTGCTGTGCATCACTCTATTGTCTGTTTTTTGGGGGCAGAGATCATTTTTATGGTGTCCTGCACTACCTCCCTCCCCCCACTGCGTAGCACAGAGTAGGTGCTTGCTACTGAATGAGTTAATTATGCAGTCATCAAGGGCCAGCTCAGTCCAGCTGCAGTGACAGCCAGGAAGGAGCAGGGGTTTGTGGCTCTGGGCCGGCCGCCAAGGTCGCTCCTCCTGGTGACTACAGAGCTGTGAGGCAGCTCCTGACGGAACTGCATTGAAAGGACTCAGGGAGCTGAGAGGTTAGGAAAACACGCGGGAATCAGACCCAGGGAGGTTGTTTGAATCTAAAAAGCAGAAACTTTACATTTTTAGGGAAGTTAAAAGTATGGCTATTTTTTCTTTTTTTTTTTTTTTTTTAACGGTTTTATTTTTGAGAGCGAGCAAGCACACGCGTGCACGGGCTGGGGAGGGGCAGAAAGGGAGAGAGGATCCGAAGTGGGCTCTGCACCGACAGCAGCAAGCCTGACGCGGGGCTCGAACTCACAGACCAGGAGGTCATGACCTGTGCCGAAATCGGGCATTGAACCAACTGAGCCACCCGGGCGCCCCTGGGTATATTTTTCATTCTTTGTCAGCAAGAACTTAGCACCTACAGTTTACCAGACTGTGCCGGCTCCGGGAGTTAAAAGAGCAGGGCAGACACGTCCTTACAGGTGGTAAGCAGGTGACAACTGTGACACATTTGCGTAACTTTAAACTTTTTTTTTTAATGTTTTATTTATTTCTAGGAGAGAGAGAGAGACAGCGTGAGCAGGGGAGGGTCAGAGAGAGAGGGAGTCACAGACTCTGAAACAGGCTCCAGGCTCCGAGCTGGCAGTCAGCACAGAGCCCGACGCGGGGCTCGAACCCACGAACCGCGAGATCATGACCTAAGCGAAAGTCGGACGCTTAACCGACTAAGCCACCCAGGCGCCCCACATTTGCGTAACTTTAGAATAAGAACATGATCATGTAGGAAAGCATAACAATAAAAGCTACTAGGGAGAAAAGCTACTTTAGGTAGTGTGGCCAAGGAGACCTCCCAGGAAGTGGCACTTAAACTGAGACCTTTATAAGTTAGTACAGTATCTCTTTTACTGAAGTATTAGCTTTTTGAAGGAAGACTCTTTGTTCATTGCTTTATCCCCATTGCCCAGAATCGGACCTCATCTCTGATGGGCAGATTGCTAAACGCGTGACTGAGTGAGTGGTGAGGAGGAGGAGCATGTTAGGAGGTGGCAGGCATCTTCCGCCCCGAGCGTCCTCTCTCTAAAAAGAAAACGTGGCCCCATCGCTCTCTGAGAATCCTGCAGAGGCCGCCCGCCAGCTCCGAGGGGAAAGCCAGGCTGGTTTGCGCGGCGCGCAGGGCGCTCGCGAACTAAAATCTCACCAGCGCCCCCTGCACGGCCTCTTCCTGCGCCTCAGCAGCCAAGGAGTGTTTTGCCCTGACTGCACCTTGCTGCTCTCCCACGTTTGTGCTTTCTGTGTGCGGCTCCATTACCCAGATTCTCTGCCGCCTTGTTTTCCTGGAAGATTCCTGTTCATCTCTCGTCACCCGGCACGGGCACCACTTCTTCCAAGAAACTTTCACTGGCCGCTCCTACCCGCCCCTGAGGGAGCCCTTATCACACCGGGTACTTAGCCGATTCTTTATTGGCACGGCTAACATTCCAGCTGGACTATAGATACGGATTTGACTTCGGAGGGAAGGGCTACATTGTTACGCACCGGTGGATTCCCGTTACCCTGAGCAACGCCTCCTTCTTAATTGGTATTTCATATATATTGAAATTGAACCATCTGAACACTGAACTTAAGATAATGGCATTTTATAGTTTGGATTATATTCACGGTTCTTAATGAAAACTAGATATATAATAATAATTTCAGAACTCGAATCCATTAAAAAATTTCGGGGGGGGTTCATTCCTCATCTAAAATTCTGGTGTCTCGTGAGATTTTCATTTTGTTTAAATGTTTCATAGTTTATAACCGTAGTCCTTAAGGAAGAGTAGTGATGTCGAGGCCTGGCTAGAAATAGGACCGTCCAGGGGAATCTGTTCACGTTTTACAAGGAAACTGTAAAATTTGATTAGAATGTCTCCTTTCCAAAGGAACGTTTATCCTCATACCAGATGATCCCTATACTCCACTGTGAGTGCTTCAGACACACGTCATGTCAGGGAAGAACTTGTAATTCAAACAAGCTGCAAGGTACAATGCTCTTAAAAGAGAATGGGCCGTTTTGCAAAGTAGGGAAGTATTTCAGTATCTGATTCAAGAGGGAGCGAATCTCAGAAACATTTTCTGAAGATTCCTACCTGCCTGGGAGGTTGGATAAGTGACCCCCCAGAGTCCAAGTTAAGATTAGGGAAATCTTTGCTGACTACTTTCTGTCCTTTTTATTTGTCTGCGTTACTCCTTATGCCTTGTAAGTCATTTGGGGATTTTTTGTGCCATCACGATTTGATTGTGGGGACCAGGTGAGGATATCTCAATAATGGACTTCGACATCCTGAACTGTGGTGTTTGGTCAGCTTAGAGTAACAGTCTGTGAAAATCAAGAACATTTATTTTACATTAGCCGTGTGGAGTAAAACTCAAAAGACTTGAGTCTTCACATCAGCTCTGTGAGTAAACGTGCGATCTTAGGAAGTTCCTCAACTCCTTCCGACGGACTGCTGCCTTGCTGGTGACAGGAGAGGCTGCACCGCTAAGCTAAGACTGCCGTTACGATGAAGGGGCACCAGGGGTATGGAAGGTTTGGTAGTGACTTAGCAGGTAGGTCCAAATACTTGAGTATAAAAAGATAAAACTCCATTCAAGCAAAACCCTGTAAGTAAAAAATTGAGAAACCGTATAATTAAAATACAAGACATGATCAAGAGCAAGTCTCAAGCCACTTTTAGTTTAAAAAGAAATTCTGCGAAGTAAAGAAGGATAGAAACGGAAAGCGTCTGTTTGCATGAAATTAGAGGCATAAAACTCAGGGTCCTTGGGATGCTGGGATGGACGCACTGACCAGGGGCGCAGCTCTGCGCAGGTGCTCTGTGGGGAAAATGCTGTCTGAGGACGTGAACTGGAGGCTGGCCACACTGTGGGAATGCAGACTTAAGAAATGGAAACTGGAAATAACTCCATGAAGGAATCGCTCCTTGAGAAAAGGAGTCTGTGCTCGCCTTGAATGTCCTTACTCATTTTGCAGAAGGCCCTCCTGTTGGTTAGCTTTTTAAAAGCTAAAACAAAGTAGTGAAAGAATGACTTGTCCTCATTGAGGTGTTTGGCCAGAAAATAGTTAGCCCCCATGCCCGTGATTTAACCGGTTACCCAAAGCAAGGGAATCTTCTGACATCCTTCCAGAAATTAAAAATTTCTTGACACTAATTTTCAAACACCAGAGTTTTTACCAATAGAAAGTATATATTTAACCCTTTTTGGTTGGGCGGTGTTTAATTTTGTCTGTGAAAAGCAAAGATAACAAAGTTTTCTAGTTCATATTCTTTCCCATCATTAGAATAGAGGGCAGATATTTTTTAATCTGTCAAAGGTTTGTAGTTTTGTTAAAATGTACTTGATTTAGCTTCTTAAATTTGAAAACAAAGTTTGCCTTTGTGGAAGGAAATGTGTTTTGTGTGTTCTGGATAAAACTTTCTCTTTCTGAGTGTGATAGTTCATGATCATGGGGTTAAAAAGAGTTAATAGTTATTTTTCCTTTTATAGTTCTACTTGTCCAATTCTGAAAAGGAACGTTATGAAAAGGAATTCAGCCAAGAAAGACAGCAAGAAATTTTGAAAAGAGCAGCCCGGGACTTACCTATCTATACCACATCAGCTTCAAGGAGTAAGAAAAACCAGTCTTAAATTTTCCTTTCCTTTTTAAAGTATGGTTAATCCTGCCGAGATATGTCTGCATGGTTTGACTATTAAATAGATATTGTGATTGCTGCAGATAATGTCTTCAAGAACAAGATTTTCCTGTGTTCTGTATGTTCTGTGGTATCTCAGATATACGTCCAGATATGTACATATATTGGTAAGGATGTTTTAAGGGGCTCACTATGAGCCTCTCTGCATTTTTTGTCCCAACTCGACATCATGGCTAAAAATTACACTTGTTATTCTTAGCACACTATCTTTTGGAAATTCTGGTTTGAATTTTAATATTGTGTGTCATCACAAGAGTAATTTTTTTTTAAATCAAAAATGTGCTAACTTAGAATGGAGAGGAATAAAAGACACAAAAGGGAAGAAGCCTGTTCAAGTTTTTTTTTTTTTAATGTTTATTTTTGAGGCGGGGGAGGGGCAGAGAGAGAGGACGACAGAGGATCTGAAGCGGGCTCTGGGCTGACAGCAGAGAGCCCAGTGTGGGGCTCGAACTCACCATGAGTTTGACCTGAGCCAAAGTCAGATGCTCAACTGACTGAGCCGCCTGGGTGCTCCCTGTTCAGTTTTTAAAACTAATATTGAGAGAGCCAGAATTAAAAAAAAAAATTTTTTTTAACGTTTATTTATTTTTGAGAGAGCATGAGCAGGGGAGGGGCAGAGAGAGACAGAGACACAGAATCCAAAGCAGGCTCCAGTGTATGTCAGCACAGAGCCCGACGCGGGGCTCGAACTCACGAATTGCGAGATCATGACCTGCGCTGAAGTCTGACGCTTAACTGACCGAGCCCCCAGGTGCCCCAGAGAGCCAGGGTTTGAACTCAGGTTTGTCTGGTTCCAAAGCCATTGGTATTTCCACTGTCCCAATTCCGACATTGAGATGGGTGACTCCTCCGGACCTTCCTTTTCTCAGGGTGAGAGTCTTACGCTAGGGATGCAATTGCACGTGACCAGTCTGGTCGCGTCAGTGTGGGGCATTGTTTTCAGTGATGTTTGTTCAAAGAGCAGGTAATATAATAGCTAACAGTTACCCAGTTCTGCGTGTTATATCCGTGCTCCTTTAAACTTCACAGCAGCCCTGAGAGGTGGATACTGTTGTCTTCATTTTACAGAGAAGGAAACTGAGTCACAGAGAGGTTTTATATCTTCTTCAAGGTTATATAAATACTATGTGAAAAATTGGAATAAAATCAAGGTGCTCTGGCTCTAGAACCCACTACACTGCTGAGCTCCGAGGGGAGCTTTACCTTTCTATAGTTACATGCAGGTTGTGACTAAGGAAATACCAAGTTTGTACAGGATTTTAGAAGGGGGTATTTGACTTTAAAATTTTTCATGCATTTAATACTGTTCTTTTTGCATGACTAACGTATTGCCATACATGACAGAAACACGAACATCAGGTCAGGCCACAGCTTTTCTGTTACTGGTGTAGTGAAGGTTACTGACTTTCTAAGTGCTGCTTTCTTATTTTCAAATGAGGATAAAAATATCTATGTCTTTGGGTTAGTGGAAATACTAAGTGAGATACGTAAATGAGATGTGCATTTAGTGTAGATCTTGGCATATAGTAGTAAGTTTTCAGTAAATGATAGCTAATATAAAATAATCTCTTTTATATTCAGAGGTGAAAAGTGTGGCTTACGATAATTATTTGTACTTCTAGTTCTGTAGATTAGATGTTCCTAACGTAGAGTCCAAGATTTGGAAGAATTTATGAATTCCAAGACAACATGCAAAGTTGTGGGTACATGTAGCTTTCAGAGTAGCCCATTCATAGCAAGGTCATCTGGTTTTCAGAGCAGGACATGCGTCCTGAAGAGCTAATAGCCACCGATTTAAATCTTTACACTTGAAGCTCTATTATTTTTCATTAATTATAATGGTTTTCCTCTAATCTGAATAGTACCCTTCAGCTGTGCAGCCTTACGCCAGAATCCTGCTGCACACACTCCGCTGGTGGTTATTCCGTCCCCGGGACACCTCTGGGCTGGGTGCCGCACTTGTCCGCACCTGAGAGGTGACGAAACGAGGCGCAGTGAGGGCTGCAGAGCCCCCGAGCGACAGGACCTGGGGATTTACGGATTTACCGCCTACCTTCTGACGACAGGCAGAGGCCTAGCTCTTGAGCGCCATTTTATACTGCATTTCTGCTGCTTAGAATTCCAAACTTCGGGGGAGTTTTATTCCTTTTTCTTATTATAGGAGTAGTAGCCATTCGTTCTTTACAAAACAAAACTACAGAAACGTATTATAGGCAGTGGACCGTAATGGACCAGAGGTGAAGGGACAGAGCCGCCCCCACAGGAGGGAGCTCGGGGCTGAAGGGGGCTTTTCACTCACTTCCTTTTTGGTCTTTTTGAACCACGTGGACATACTATTATCTATTCAGCAAACAAAATATAGTCTTTCTAGCCCTCCCCCTCCACAGCGTGCAGCCAGCGTCCCTCTCTGCCTTCACCCCGCGCTGACTGCCCGCAGCAACTCTGTGCCAGTGCACTGTCTCTCCACCTTTTTACGCGTCTCTTCTCCTCCCAGAATGATGATTTTTCCCTCTTTAATCCAGTTTACGATTTTAGAGGCTACTTCTTCTCATCCAATTCTGTTCACTTGAACAAGAGGTGATTTTTAAAAGTCTGCTCGGAACTTCCCACACTCTTACCTTGTGGATCACAGATCACTGCGTCATAGTTATTTCTGTTTATCTCACCCCTCGACCTCGTTCTGAGACTCTGCGGTCAGGAAATTCTCCTGGAGGTATTTGTTGAATGAGCCCCTCCCCCCACCCCAGCCGCCACGTGTGTCCTTCCTCTTCCTCCTGGTTCTCTCTCCTTCACGATGCTTCCCGTCACAAGTCTGAATTTCTGTTTTATTAGAAATAATCATTTTTATTATCCTAGTAATGACACCTGATTTATTGAGAATCTGATCTGTTCCGGAAGATTTATATTTAAGCTGCGCGATATCCTTTACACCTGGTATTACTTGCACTTACGGAAGAGGAGACTGAGACTCGTAGAGAGTGAGTCACCAACCCAGGGCCACAGGCTGCGTAGGGGGAGAGCTGGCCTCACAGCTGCCTGGTGACCGGTCCCTGCTGCTCCCGGGACAGTGAGCTGCCAGCAGCCTCACAGACTGGCTTCGCCAGAGCTCATCAGTGTCCTCTTGGTCTCTGCGTTCCTGTCCTTTTTTTCTTTTTTTTTTTTTTAACGTTGATTTTACTTATTTTGAGAGAGAAAAGGGGGGAAGAGGGGGAGAGAAAGAATCCCAAGCAGGCTCCGTGCTGTCAGCATTGGTTCTGACGCGGGGCTTAATCTCACGAACCGTGAGATCATGACCTGAGCCCAAATCAAGTCAGACACTTACCAACTGAGCGCCCCAGGCACTCCTCGTCCTTTCTTATATTTGCGTAGAGATTGCTGACGTTTTTCTTCTCTTCTCCCCCAGTTTGCTCCTAAAATTCTTGCTTCTCCACTTAATAAATTATAACCAACTTCTTCCTTCTGCTTTCAAGTATCACCAAAGTGTATCTCTCTTAGAAACAACAATTTAGGGGCACCTGGGTGGCTCAGTTGGTTAAACATCCAACTCTTGGGGCGCCTGGGTGGCTTAGTTGGTTAAGCGTCCGACTTTCGCTTAGGTCATGATCTCACGGTTCATGGGTTAGAGCCCCGCGTCGGGCTCTGTGCTGATTGCCGGCTCAGAGCCTGGAGCCTGTTTCAGAGTCTGTGTCTCCCTCTCTCTCTGACCCTCCCCTGCTCACGCTGTCTCTCTCTCTCTCTCTCTCCTAGAAATAAATAAAAATATTAAAAAAAAAAACATCCAACTCTTGACTTCAGCTCAGGTCATGGTCTTACGGTTCGTGGGTCCGAACCCCCACATCAGGCTCTGTGCTGGCAGCGTAGAGGCTGCTTGGGACTCTCTCTCCCACTCTCTCTCTGCCCCTCCCTGGCTCACAGACTCTCTCTCTCAAAATAAATAAACTTAACAACAACAACAAAAAATTGGTTCTGATGCTATTCTAACCACCATTATATTTTCTCTTCCCTTTGAGTTAGATCTTCTTGTGAGCAGTCTATGCCCAGGGCCTGTGTTCCTTCCTGCATAATTCCAGACAGCTGGCTTCCGTTCTCCCTACCTGACTGCGGTGGCTTCTGCCATTCTGACTTCTTGAAAAGCTTTCTTCTTTCTGCTTTTCTATTCTAGTTCTGTTCTGCATCCTTGAATGATTATTCATCCTAATTTTCTTTTCTTTTTCTTTAATTTAATATTATTATTTTTAGAAAGAGAGCACACAAGCAGGGGATGGAGGGGGGAGAGGTGGGAGGTGGTAGAGAGAGAATCTCAAGCAGGCTCCATGCTCAGTGCAGAGCCCAATACAGGACTCCATCCCACAACCCTGGGATCATGACCTGAGCCAAATTCAAGGTCAGATGCTTAACCAACTGAGCCACCCAGGTGCCCCTTATTTTTCTATTTCATAGCTTCATGAGGGCGGCTTGCTCCAATTCTTTTCATGCTGTTCCTTCACCTTTTGTTTTCAATTCTAGAATTCTGACACTATGACGTTGTGATCATTAGTTTCTTATGTCTCCATTTGTTTTCTTTGATAGTTTCCAGGAATGAGTTCACTTTTCTAAACATGAATTAGAGCAGATCCAAGGATGTTGTCACCCTGGCAGTCACATTCCAGACCCGCTCTTGCGTGTCGGGGGAGCGGGCGGGGTTGAAGCTACACAGGAGGATTTCTTGTCCACCCGGGGGCCTCCTGTCAGCCATGTGTCACCAGGGCCGCAGCATTCTTCCTGGGCTTTCAGAGGGAAAAGCTGCAGGTCCCCCCCCCCCCCCACCGCCGTCACTCTTCTTGGCATGCGCCTTCCGAGTCCGCGTCCCCTGCTTGGTTCATTTTCTGGGTTCCTTGCACCAGTGTGTCTGCTGTCTGTGCGTACCCATGGGGGGCCATCTGGGGTCCTCCTCCATCATCTTCCCAGGCTCCCCCAGGACAACTGTCCTCGAGTGACCTGTTCTCCAAACCTCCAAAGCCAAACAAAACTGGATTCCTCGATTCAGAATTGAAGGCCAGCAAGCAGGATTTGTCACATGGTAGAAACTCTCTAAATACACTACTGGTTGCATGAACAAATGAGAGAGTGAATAAATGAAAAACACCCTGCCCTACTCTCCCCCCCCCGCCCACCGCGAGCTTACTCCTGTGGTTGGCAGCAGCATCCATCAGGTGGCCTGGGCCAGAAACCGAACTTTCCTGATGGCTTCTCTTTCCTCAGGTCCTCTGTCTACTCGCTCATCAAATCCTTCAGAAGTCTTCCTCAGACGTCTGTGCAGGGCGCCTGGTGCCTCAGTCGGTTAAACATCTGACTCTTGGTTTTGGCTCAGGTCATGATCTCACGGTTTCGTGAGTTCGGGCCCCACGTTGGGCTTTGTGCTGACAATGCAGAGCCTGCTTGGGATTCTCTCTCTGTTCCTCTCTCTCTGCCCTCCTCCCACTCACACTACCTCTGTCTGTCTCAAAATAAATAAATAAAAACTTAAGAAAATAAGGTCTGTGCTGTCTAGTCTCATCTCAGGGCCAAATGACCATCTCAGAATTTTGAGTGGAAGTGTAGAGGAAAAGAAAATGAGTACTCTGATCCTCCTCTGGGCACTAATTCAGCTGTGTGGGCCTTGGACAGATTGCTTTCTCTCGCGATTTTGGGGTGTTTTTCATCAGCTGAATGGAGAGATCAGCTAGGAGATTTCTACGGTCCTAAAGCTGAACTTTTTCTACAATGTCTGGCTTTACCTCCCCCGTGCTGAGGTGGTTCTGGAAGTCCCTGAGTGTAGCATGGCTTACTCATTTAAGAAGTGGATAGTTGTATGGGGCGCCTGGGTGGCTTAGTCGGTTAAGCGTCCAACTTTCGCTTAGGTCATGATCTCGCGGTTCGTGGGTTCGAGCCCCGCGTCGGGCTCTGTGCTGACTGCCAGCTCAGAGCCTGGAGCCTGTTTCAGTCTGTGACTCCCTCTCTCTCTGACCCTTCCCTGCTCACGCTGTCTCTCTGTCTCTCCTAGAAATAAATTTAAAAATATTAAAAAAAAAAAAAAAGAAGAAGAAGTGGATAGTTGTATACATCCTCTTCATCTTAAAGACACTTTTGTTGAAATTATAAAAGTAACACATGCCGTGATTAAAAAAAAAATTTTAGGGCACCACATGAAAAATGAGTTTACCTTTCCACCCTGGCACTGTTCCTAGTGGGACCCTGGGTGTCCCTGCAGACATTTTTTATGCTTGGCAGAGTATTGCAAAACTTACATACAATTAATGTATTTCAACAACTAAAGTGGATGGATATTAACCAATACAAATTCAGTTACCTGGATCGTGCCTCAAAATTGCACTTTGTCTCTTTTACATGTTAATTCACATCTGGAAGGTGGATGCATTTTGTTGGGATTTGTGAAGAGAAAAAATACATATGCTTACTTCCCATAGAGATGTGAAACATGCTGCATATTCAAACTGTTCTAGAATTTGCCTTTTTTCATCTGCTTTATTTGCATTTTTCCAGTTTAGTGTACACGTGTATTTTGTATGGAAAATTCTTGTTAAAGTCTGTGTAGTATTTTACCATAAGGATATATCATAAAATGCTTCGCTATTTACATAATTTAAGTACTTCATAATATTTTATTATTAAAAACAATGCTATAGTGAACACGTGTATAGAATTTTCTCGAAGTAGAGATCCTGGGTCAAAGAACGTATACATCTTAAGTGTTTATAGATACTCCCAGATTTCCTTCCAAAAAGATTGTAAACACGTAACAGCGCCCATGCATTACTTAGAGGGTATCATTAATTTAAATTTTTATTTTAACCTACTTTCTGAGCTAGGAAACAAACAGTAATGGCACAGAAAATAGGTTCAAATAAACAAATAGGATTGCAAGAAACAGGCAGCAACTCAGGCTTTTTAACTCTCTTTCACCCCAAAAAACCACCAGAACGTAGGAAATGGTGTCAGGGACTGGCGGGTATTTCCTGTCTGGGGCGCCCGCGCTGGGGCCGGGGAGCTGGTTCTTCTCATTCCTCACCCAGTTCGCAGGGCGGACAGCGCCGCCCCGGGGTCCCCGCTGCGGCGCTGCCGGAGCCGCTCTGGGCTCCGCTTAACCCGGGCGGAGCGAGCGTGAGCTGCAAGGGGACCGGTGGGCTGACCTGGGTCCCAGGGAAGGCGGCAGTGGCCTGTAGCCCCGGCAGCACCGAGGACGCCCGCTGCACCAGGAGAGCACGTGGGGCCTGCATTTCATTGCTCGGGCCTGGAACACGTTCAGCTGCTCCCCGGAGGCCTAGGCCCCTGCCTGCGGCCAGGTCGGCAAGCGTGTTTGCTTCAGAGGCCGCCGGGTGGAGAACAGTTAGCATCTAAGTGTCCTGTGGCCGCCTCTGTGTGCATCCCTAATCACGGGTTTAAAAAGTAGCTTTTGCGGGGCTCCTCGGTGGCCCAGTGGGCTGAGCCTCCCACTCCTGGTTTCGGTGGGTCAGGTCCAGCTCTCAGGTTTGGGAGTTGAGCTCTGCATCGGGTGGAGCCTGCTTGAGGTATTCTCTGCCCCTCCTGGCTGCCCCCTTCCCCCCCCCCCCCAGCGATGTGCACACTCTCTCCCTCTCAAAAAAACATGAACATTAAAAAAATTATTTTAATTATTGTCAATTTCACAGTTATTTGTAAAAGAATGAAAGCAAATGTTATAGTCAAATTAAGCTTGTACATCCTTCAACAATTTCTTTTTAATTCCGAAATGTAGCCATCAGATACTGTGAAAAATGTCAGTTGATTAAACCTGACCGGGCGCATCACTGCTCAGCATGTGAAGTGTAAGTATTACTCATTTGTTTTCATTTAACCCGAGCACTGCAGATAGGTGACAGGAGAATAGAAGGGGACGGAATACTTAATATGCTTTATACTCAGCAAAAACACTTCACGCTCTCCAGTTATTTGCTGTGTTTGCTGGGCTAACAAAAATACTTATGTAAGCTGGAATATACTCTGAAGTAATCTTCATTCCTGTACTAGTTGATAGAATTTTATTAAGTAGATTTCCTATACTTACACTTAATGCAATATTGATGAGCAAGTAATAACCCCTTTGAGAAAGATGACTTTATCTCCTGGATTAAAAAGACTATCATGACACTTTTCTTGTTTCTCTTGTTAATATTAAAACCTAACAAACCACAAAAATACTGTTTTCAATTACTGTCTGTGACATTGTCCCCAGAAAAATTTGAAAAATTTTGTGTGCACTTTTGAGAAGATAGCATGTTGGAGGAAAGATGTACAGTGTAGGTATCTCTGCTAGTCCGTGAACTTTAGTTACACAGGTTGTTTAACATTCTGGGTATTAGTTTATTCGTTTCTTACGTTACAGCCAGCAGCCCCTCTTTCCAGTCTGGGGATGTGTTCCGGGGCCCCCAGTGAATGCCTGAAACTGTGTAGACTCTGTCTTTTCTGTACATACATATCTGCGATAAAATAGAACTTCTGAATTATGCACAGTAAGAAATTAACAACAGTAGCTAATAGTAAAATAGATCAGTTAGAACAATATACTGCAGTAAGGTTATGTGAGTGTGAACTCTCTCAGTGTCTATGGTACACCCCCACTTACTGGGGTGAGATGAAGGGAGGTGAATGACATAAACACTGTGACGTGGAGTTAGGCAACACTGACCTCTCCCGATGGTGTGTCAGGGAGGACCGTCTGCTCTCAGGCCGTGGGTGACAGCTGCTTGCTGAAACCAGGAGAAGCGACTGAAGCTGGGGGAGGCTGCGGTGTTTGGGGTGCTCCGTGGTCTCGCTTTATCCAATCTGGATTACGTGTATTGGTGGGGAGGCAGATCTGGAAGGGTTTTTTAAATTACGAAAGCACAATAGTGCTTATCCATGGAATAAAATTTTGTGCATTATGTGGAAAAAATAACCACCTACGAGCCCATCACTGTTACTATTTTAATATATTTGCTCCTAAAGTTTTATTTTTATGTCTTGAATGTGGTTAAAATAGCATAGAGATTTCTGTATTTCATTTTGTCTCCCTCAGCTAATCTGTAAACTGGACCTATCTAATTTACGTGGTGTTATATGTACCGTATCAGTGTATTAAAATGTCATTTGATGTGGTTCGAGGCAGTTGACTGTGCTCAACTGAATTCCCATTATTAAAAATCATTATTTCTCACCTGTAAAAAGTACTTGTGGAAATATCAGAAGTTTTTTGTAACCTAATGTTCACTGGATTGGTTTTTCTAAGATGTTATTTCTAAAGGTAAACATTTCAGCCAAAGAAAGAGAAAATTGTGAGCAGTTAGCATTAGGGGAATTTTTTAATGATTTTCTTATGCTTCTTTGTTTTTAGATGTGTTCTTAAGATGGATCATCACTGCCCTTGGTATGTATGAGGGATAGAGGAGGTCTCACGGGGGTGGAGAGGTGGGAAGGAGAGTTGAGAGTAATTTTCCTCAGCCTTCCTAAATTTTGAAGGTCAGTTTACTTGTAGATGCCAAGATTGATGTCATATTTATATGCACATATATGTATGTACATGTTTATATTAAATGTAGTCCTTTAAATATTTTGACGTTATTAACCTAAGTAAGTATAGATTAAGAGTTGACATCGGGGCACCTGGGTGGCTAAGTCAGTTAAGTGTCCTACTCTTGATTTCAGCTCAGGTCATGATCTGCAGTTTGTGGGGTCTCGCCCCACACGGGGCTCCACACTGACAGCATGGACCCTGCTTGGGATTCTTCTCTCCCTTTTTCTCTGCCCCTCCCCTGCTTGTGCTCGCTCTCTCTCTCTCTCTCTCAAAATAAATACATTAAACTTTAAAAAAAGAAGAATTAACATCAAAATTCCAAATTTCTTAGGACACCTGTGTAGCTCAGTTGTTTAAGTGTCTGACTCTTGATTTTGGCTTAGGTCATGCCCAGGTTGAGCCCTATACTGAGCTTGGAGACTGCTTAAGATTCTTTCTCCCTCTCACTGTGTCCTCTCCCTCTCCCTCTCTCTCTCAAAAATAAAATAAAATTAAAAAAAATAAATTCCTAATTCCTCATAGAATTTATTAAAAACACACATCCACAATTAAGACACTGCTGCCCACTTCCCAGATGGCTCATTTCCAAGTAATAACGATTAAGGTTTTACTCTGTCATATGCATTACTGTTGTTTTTATTATGGCTTAAAAAATATCATAAAACTTACCATCTTAACCATTTCTAAGTGTACAGTTCAGTAGTATAAAGTCTGTCCCCGTGGCCATGCTCCTGGTCTTCAGAACTTCCTCCGCCTGCGCAGCTCGAATCCTGTGCCCGTCCCTGTCCCCGCAGCCCCCGGCCACACCACTCTGGGCTTTGTTTCTGTGAGTTTGTGGTTTGTCTTATTTTTACACCGTGACTTTTTTTATTCTTCCAGGGTGAATAACTGTGTGGGATTTTCTAATTACAAATTCTTCCTGCTGTTTTTATTGTATTCCTTGTTATATTGCCTTTTTGTGGCTACAACAGTTTTACAGTACTTTATAAAATTTTGGACGGTAAGTCTTTTTTTCTATCCTAAAATATATATTTAAGACTTTAAGATGCTATGTTCATAAAGAATTCCTTCATTCTCTATTATAGGTGGATATACTTTATTTCAGTTTTACTAGGTGGAATTTATAATGGATCAGAAAGCTGATCAGGTTATAATTTACCTTCATATGTGTGTATTTATTTGTATATAAATGGCTATTAAATAAGATGTAGTGAGCTGTGTTTTTAGTGACCCAAACTATTTTCACCAATATTCTAACCATAGACATACCAATTTCAGGGAAGTGATTGCTTTTAGCTGAGTTGAAGAGACTTATTGCAGTTTTACAGTAATAAAAGTGAAATTGCCAGTACCCCAAAAACCACTAATCTGTTTCCTGCCTCTATAGATGTTAATCTTTTTTCTATCACGAGTTGCAAAGGTTTTTTTTCCCCACATTCTCAGTTTGTATCTTATAACCCTGTTTTCTTTCGGTTTTATCAAATCAAAGTTTTATATTTTAAAGCAGCATTTTTGTGATTTCTGATTTTCCTATTTATTTAAAAGCCATACTTTTCCTTTGTATTTTTCTGGCTTCAGTCTGTTCACTGTAAATTCATACAGTAGTGACCCAGGTTTTCCTTTTCCTTCGGCATTTTTAACTATTTTTGTTTTCACATTTCAATCTTTGATTTTGACGGGGAGGTTATTGTGGTCAAAAGGTACTTTCTATTTACCCTTCCTAAAAATTCTGTTGAGATGTTTTAAGATGTAGGGTTAGTGATTGCACTGCTCGGGTGTGTTGGAGCCAGCCAGTCAGGACACGATTACCATCGGAAAGGCGGTTTGTTGCTCGTGGTGGCCCCGGGAGGGGGTGCCCGGCCGTGTAGGACCATACCCGCAGCCCCAGGCCGGGCAGGCAGATTTAGGGTGAGCCAGTTCAGTCCACATCTGCGGTTAGGGCAGGGCAGTGTTGTCTCCTGGGGAGGGGTGGGGGGGGGGCGGGGTGGAGGGTGAACTCTGGATTGGCTAGCTCACCCGTGCACAGAAGGGGGTGTTCCCTGCTGTCACTGAGAAAAGGACGGCTGTGGGAGAGGCAGCCTCTCTTCAGGGCCCCAGATGCCAGCATATCAGGAATACCGAAAATAGGAAAAGGCAGCTCATGCAGAAGGAGCTGTTATTATTCCCGTTTTCAGAGTTGAAAACGGCAGCGAGAGGAGGTAGGAAACTAGCCAAAGGGTGAACGTACATCTCTGTGTGTCAGCATGTGCAGCTCCTTTCCCCTGCGAGTTGCTTTTCGTAGTCTTCTTTGGAAATAACCTAATTAAAGCCTCAAGTTATCAAGTTATTTATCCAGGAGATAGCTAAGGACTTTCATTAAAACATTTTTGGATGTTTTAAACTTGAGGCCTTTAAAACCAGGGGATGCCGGTACTTTAAGGGCCTCTGTGTGCGTTAGAAAAGGGTGCCCCAGTGCTATGTGGCCTCAGCCCAGTGAGTGCTGGGTTCTGTTGCTCCCCTACTTCTCAGCACCTTTGTTCAGTTTACAACCCTCTTAACCCTATTCAGTGGCCCTATTTAAGTAAAGGCTTTAGTGCCAGATGAATAAAGTCTAACTTAGAGAATTTCACATTTCCTTATCAGTGTTTACATAAAATGATTTGTTAACTAAAGAATGAATAGTTTTGACTTCTATAGATTCGTTATGAGTAAGGAAAGACCTAGTAAACTTAAATCTATCTTTTTCTTCATTCAACAAACATTTACTGAGTATCTATTATGTGCCAGGCAGTGTTCTAAGCACTTCCTATAGATAAGTGAACAAAACAGAGTTCTGTTTTTATAGAACTTACTTTTGAGAAGAGGAAGGCATATAAACATAATAAATAAAGAAGTAAATCCTGTTGTGTATTAGAAAGTAAACACTATGAAGAAAAGTAAAAGTAGAGCAGAGTAAGGGATTCAGCAAGTTTCTTGGGGTGAGTATGACAGGGAAGACAGAAGTGTCAGAGTGATCAGGGTAGACCTCAGTGAGGAGATCGGAGTTGGGAAAAGATTTCACGGGAGTTAGTGGATATCTGAAAAAGGAATATGTGCACCCAGCATGGGAGCAGCTGAACATATAGAGCAAATGTTAGGCCTGCAGGGAGCAATACAGTAATAGTGGGGGCTTTAATACCCCATTTACATCAGTGAATAGATTGTCCAGACAGAAAAAATATATAAGGAAGAATTGGCGTTAAAATGACGTATTACAACAGGTAGACTTAAAAGACATACAGAACACTCGATCCAAAAGAAAGATTGAGTATAAATCGTATAAAACTAGAAATCAGTTACAAAAACGAACACTGGAAAACTCACAACTAAGAAAGATCTCGAATAACCTAACTTGACATTTCAAGGAACTAGAAAAAGAACATATAAGCCAAAGTTAGTTTAAAGAGGGAAATAACAGATCAGAGTGGAAATAAATTGAGACTAAAAACACAGTAGAAAAGATCAGTGAAACTAAGAGCTGGTTTTTTGAAAAGATAAAATAGGCAAACCCTTACCTACACTCACTACGAAAGAAAGAGGACTCAAAATTAGAAATGAAAGCAGACATTATAGCTGAGAGCACAGAAATGCAAAGGATCATTACAGACTACTCTGAACAATCATACGGCAACAAATTAGACAGCGTAGAAGAAATGGATACATTCCTAGAGACATGAAATAGAAAATCTGAACAGATTGCTAGTAACCAAGATTAAATTAATAATAACTTCCCAATAAGCAAAAGTCCAGAAACCAGATGGTTTGGTAGTGATTTCTACCAAACATTTAAATAATTAATGCCAGTCTTCAAAATTTTCCAAAAAAAAAAAAAAAATAGAAGAAGTAATACTTCCAAATTCATTTTATAAGACGAGTATTACCCTTACACAATAACACTACAAGAAAAGAAAATTATAGGCCAATATCCTTATTGAACAAAGTCATAAAAGTCTTCAAAAAAATATTAGCCAACTGAATTCAAGGATATGTTAAAAGAGGAGATACCTGGGTGGCTCTTTTGGTTAAGCATCTGACTTTGGCTCAGGTCATGATCTTACAGTTTGTGGGTTTGAGCCCCCCATCAGGCTCTGTGCTGACAGCTTGGAGCCTGGAGCCTGCTTCAGACTCTCTGTCTCCCTGTCTCTCTACCCCTCCCCTGCTTGTGCTTTCACTTTCAAAAATAAATAAACATTTAAGAAAAAGAGAACACATTAAAAGGATCATACACCATGATCAAGTGGGATTATTCCACGGATGCAGGTATGGTTCAGCATCTTTAAATCAGTCCATGCATACCACATTTTAAAAAATGAAGGGAAAAATCATATTATTTTGATAGATGCAGAAAAAGCATCTGACAAAATTTAGTGGCCATTTTTTGAAGTGTTTATTTTATTTTTGAGAGTATGAGCAGGGAAGGGTCAGAGAAAGAGATGGAGACACAGAATCCGAAGCAGGCTCCAGACTCTGAGCTGTCAGCACAGAGCCCAATGCGGGGCTCAAACTCATGAGCCAGGAGATCATGACTTGATCTGAAGTCAGAGGCTTAACTGACTGAGCCACCCAGGTGCCCCTCAATGACTGTTTTTGATAAAAATTCTTAACAAAGTAGGTATAGAGGGGTATGTTCCTCAACACGATAAAGGCCGTCTATGACAGGCCCACAGCTAACATACTGTGATGAAAAGCTTAAAGTTTTCCCCTAAGGTTAAGAGCAAGACAAGGATTAAGGCGCCTGGGTGGTGGCTCAGCCAGTTAAGCACTGGACTCTTGATTTCTGGTCAGGTCATGGTCTCACAGTTTGTGAGATCTAGCCCCACATTGGGCTCCATGCTGACAGCATGGAGCTTGCTTGGGATTCTCTTCTCTCTCTCTCTCTCTCTCTCTCTCTCTCTCTCTCTCTCTCTCCCCCTCTCCCTCTCCCCCTCCCCCTCCCCCTACTTAACGCTCTCTCAAATATAAACATTAAAAAAAATGAATAAGACAGAGATTCCCACTCTTACTACTTTTATTCAACATGATATATATTGGAAGTCCTATCCACAGCAATTAGGTAAGAAAAAGAATTCAAATAGGAAAGAGGTAAAATTGTCTGTTTGCATAATGCGTATGTTTAGAATACCCTAAACTCCACCAAAATGTATCCAAAGGATAAGGAGTGCTGATTCCAAGGGGCACACGCACCTCAATGTTCACAGCAGCACTATCTGCAGCAGCCACAGTGTGGAGAGAGCCCAGATGTCCATCGACTGACAAATGGATAAAGAAGATGTGGTCACAAAAGAGGACATCCAGATGGCCAACAGACACATGGAACGATGCTCAGTATCCCTCCTCATCAGGGAAATACAAATCAAAACCGCCCTGAGATACCACCTCACGCCGCTCAGAGTGCCTAAAATGAACAAATCAGAGAACTCTAGATGCTGGCGAGGATGTGGAGAAACGGGCACCCTCCTACACTGTTGGTGGGAATGGAAACTGGTGCAGCCCCTCTGGAAAACAGTGTGGAGGCTCCTCAAAAAATTAACACTAGAACTCCCCTAGGACCCAGCAATAGCACTGCTAGGAATTTACCCAAGGGATATAGAAATGCTGATGCATAGGGGCACATGGACCCCAGTGTTCATAGCAGCACTCTCAACAATAGCCACATCATGGAAAGAGCCTAAGTGTCCATCAACTGACGAATGGATCAAGATGTGGTTTATCTATACAATGGATACTACATGGCAATGAGAAAGAATGAAATCTGGCCATTTGCAGCAACGTGGATGGAACTTGAGAGTGTTATGCTGAGCGAAATAAGTCAGGCAGAGAAGGATACCATATGTTTTTACTTATAAGTGGATCAGGAGAAACTTCACAGAGGACCATGGGGGAGGAGAAGTGGAAAAAATAGTTGGGGAGAGGGAGGGAGGCAAACCATGAGAGACTCTTGAATTCTGAGAACAAACTGAGGCTGATGGGAGTGGGGGAGGGGAGGGGGGTGACGGGCATGGAGGAGGGCACTTGTGGAGATGAGCACAGGGTGTTATATCAAAACCAACTCGATAATAAACTATGAAAGAAAAAAAGATTGGTCGCGTGTGTGTATGTGTGTATATATACACACATACACTTATATGTATGTGGAATATTACTCAACAATCAAAAAGAATGAAATCTTGCCATTTACAACAATGTGGATGGAACCTAGAGTAATATTATGCTAACCGAAATAGTCGAGAAAGACCAATATATGATTTCACTCGTGGAATTTAAAAAACACAACAGATGAACATAGGAGAAAGGAAGGAAAAAGAAGATTAAAACAGAGGGAGGCAAACCATAACTATAGAGAACAAACTGAGGGTTACTATAGGGGTGTTGGGTGGCAGGGAGATTGGCTAAATGGGTGATGGGCATTAAGGAGGGCACTTGTTGGGATGACCACTGGGTGGTATATGGAAGTGATGAATCACTAAATTCTGTTCCTGAAATCATTATTACATTGTGCTAATGAAGTTGGATTTAAATTTTAAAAATAGGGGATGACATAAATATACTTTTATTCTATGTTGCTTTAGAAGCCTCACAAAGTATCTTTTATGATTTGAGAAGTACAGGGCGGATATATCTTCTCAATGAAGATACCTGCATGATTTTCATAGTCATCCTTTTATGCTGTTCTATCAATAAACATGAATTGAACAGAAAAAAATAAAAGACTTCACCAAAACTGTTAGAACCAAGAAACTAATTCAGAAAAGTTGCAGGGTATAAAATCAGTTCCATTTCTATATTAGTAACAAACTATCATAAGAGAAATTATGAAAAGAATCCCATTTACACTTGCATCAAAAAGGTCAAAATACTTAGGGAATAACTTTAACCCAGGAGATGAAAGAACTGTACATTGAAGACTGTAAGAGATTGATGAAAGCAATCGAAGGCACAAATAAATGGAAAGTTAATCTGTGTTCATGGACTGGAAGAATTAATATTGTTAAAATATCCATACTACCAGAAGCCATCTACAGATTCAGTGAAACCCATAACTAAGTTCCACTGGCATTTTTCACAGAAATGGAGCAAACAATCCTAAAATTAGTGTGGAACCACAGAAGACCCCAAAAAGCTAAGGCAGTCTTGAAAAAGAAGAACAAAGCTGGAGGTATCATGCCACCTCTTTTCAAACTGTATTACAGAGCTATAGTGATCAAAACCACTGGTATTGGCATGAAAACAGACACATAGATCAGTGGAACAGAATAGGCCAGAAATAAACCCATGAATCTTTGGTCAGTTAATTTTTGACAAAGGAGCCAAGAGTATACAGTGGGTAAAGGGCAATCTTTGCAATAAATAACGTTGGGAAACATGGACAGCCACATGCAAAAGAATGAAACTGGATCCTTATCTCACATCATACAAAAATCTGTTCCAACTGGATTAAAGACTTGAACATAAGACCTGAAACCGTGTATCTCCTAGATTAAAACATGGGCAGTAAGCTCCTTCACATTTTTCTTGAGATTTAACACCAAAAGCAACAAAAGCAAAAGTAAACAAGTAGGACTACATCAGACTAAGAAGCTTCTATGCAGCAAAGGAAATCATCAACAAATCAATAAAGCGGCCTGGTGAATAGAAGATATTTGCAAGTCATATCTGACAAGGGGGTAATGGGCAGAATATACAAAGAACTCCTATAACCCAGTAGCCAAAAAAACAATTTAAAAATGTGCAAAGGATCTGAACAGACATTTTTCCAAAGACATATGGATGGCCAGCAGGTGCATGAAAAAGTACTCAATGTCACTCACTAATCAAGGAAGTACAAATCAAAACCACAGTGAGGGATCAACTCTTACCTGTTAGATCGGCTGTTAATCAAAAGATAAGAAATAACTGGTGTTGGCGAGGATGTAGAGGAAAGGGAATCCATGCACTCTTGGTGGGAATGTAGATTGATTTAGCTGCTATGGAAACAATATAAAGATTCCTCAAAAAATGAGAACTACTGTATGATCCAACAATTCTACTTCTGGATTTCATCCAAAGGAAATGAGAATACTAACTTGAAAAAATTATGGGTAACCCTGTGTGCATTGCAGCTTATTTATAATAAGCAAGACATGAAAACAACCCAAGTATCCATCAGTGGACAAATGGATAAAGAAACGTGTGTGTGCGTGCGCGGGAACACACAATGGAATATTACTCAGCCATAAAAAAAGGAAATCCTGCCATTTGTGACCACGTGGATGGGCCTAGAAGACACACTAAGTGAAATAAGTCAGGGAAAGAAAAATACTATTGTCACTTATATGTAGAATCTAAAAAAAAAAAAAAACTTTCTTAACTCATAGAGCGAGCAGATTGGTGATTGTCAGGGACAGTACATGGGGGGTGGGCAAAGTGAGTGAAGATACTCAAAATAACATTAATAAGTCCTGGGTATAATGCACAACATAGTGACTCAAGTATATTTGAAAGTAGCTGAGATAGTACATCTTAAAAGATCTCACTAGGAAGAAAAAATTGTGACTGTGGTATGGATGTATTGTGATCATTTTGATATATATATATCTATATATAAAATCATGTTTTACAACTGAAACTAATACACTGCTGTACGTCAGTTATATCTCAGGTTTGGGTTTTTTTGTTTTTATTTTTAAAGTTTGACTGGGGTAGATCTCAGTAAGGTAAGATTTGAGCACAGACTTGAAGGGAGTTAGTGGACATCCGAGAGAAAACTTCTGAGGAAACATCTGGACTTTTTCAGAGCAAGGCCCAAAATTTTGTAGGAGCGTCCCGTCCCCACCGTGTGTGTGCAAGAGCCAGGAGGCTGGGGTGGCTGAGGTAGGAGAGAGAGGGACTCACGAGAAGCCCCGGCGGGTGGGCCCCGGAGAGTGTTGGAGGACCTGGTCTTCCCCGCGGGGTGAATGGGCACAGAGCAGCGACACGGTCTCACTGCCGCCTCACTCTGACAGCCAGGCTGACACTAGACGGCAGGGTGAAGGACAGCACCTCTGGGAAGGCTGTGGCCGCAGCACTGAAGGTCGTAAGGAATTCTCAGATACAGTTTTTTTAAAGAACCTACTAATAGCAAGTTTTTTAATAAAAACTATTTGCTGAAACTATTTATTCTTTCCTAGATATAAATCTCTGCTTTTAAAAACTGTGAAAGTGTGTATTTAAAGTGTACCTTGAATGCTCTTGAAGGGCTAAATATTGTCTGTGTTCTCTTTTGTGTTTTTGGAGAAAATGTCAACAACCTTTAGGGAGCAACCTCTCCATGTTCCTTCAAAACACAAAAGACCTATAAAACTAGTGTTCAGGATAATTTTGTATAAAATTTGGTTTCTTAATACATTATCTTTATTTGTACAAGCTTTGCCGCAGGAAATCTACAGAGAGTTGTCCAAAGGTAACAGAACATTATTGCCATTCCATTCTTGTGACATTTCTAGTAAATACATATGACACTCATTTGCTTCACAAGATGGGAAGTTAGAAGAATCACTTGATGTATTTAAAACACATTGTGGTTACTCTGGGAGAGAAGAGAAAAACATAAAAGAATCATCTAATGCTAAGAACCTTCCATTTCCCCTGTAAACAGTGTGTCAATCAAGCAGAAAACCATGCTGTCCTGGAAAGCCATACAGACGATTTTATTTTAAGAGCTAACACTTACGGGCTTCCTCATTCTCCTCAGATAATAATTCTAGGTTAAGATTTTGTTTCTGTCAAAATGAATATAGCTGTAAGAATGGGTAACAGAGAAGCTGTTTCCATTCACGAATACTTTGTGGTAAATGTATTTACCAAAATTGCTAATTACCTAAAAAAGACCGTAGGAAATGAGCGAGGATAAAAAGGTGGGAATCAGCACAGCTGAGGCCTGGGGATATTTGCTGCGGTGTTCCAGAAATAGAAGCTAGAGATAAACTTAACCACAGTTAGTGTCTCATCAGCAGCCTGTATAGTTAAAATAAGCAAATATTTTAGCATAGGTAAGGAAAACCGTGTCTATCCTGGATTTGGGGAAGGCATATGAATATATGCATTAAGTACAAACGGAAATGTTGAGCAAAAAACGGCATCCTTTTATTTTATTATTGAAAATATTAACTGAAATTTTTGAATGCTTAAGAGTGATTTTTAAAATCACTCTTTCAGCCTTTTATGTAAGCAATCTCCTTTGGTCATGCCCATTTTCTGTTTTTGGAGATGTTGTGTTTGGACTTGTTATCTAAATTTATTGTGTATTCTTCACATCTAGCAAGATTTTTGGTAGACTCCACGGTCTTTAGGAAGAACCAAACAATACATTTTAGAGGCTGACTGTTCTAAAATTTACTCTTCTTTTTCCTTCCTCAGAATGAACTCTCTGATACACGTGCTAAGTTCCACGTTCTTTTCCTCTTCTTTGTGTCTACGATGTTCTTCATCAGCGTCCTGTCACTTTTCAGCTACCACTGCTGGCTGGTGGGAAGAAACAGAACAACAATAGGTAAGCAGGTTAACAGAAATCGTAATTATTTAGGAAAATGACCATAAATGAGCATGAAGTATTGTGAGCAGATAGATGTTTTATAAAGAAGTGTAAAGCAGTTCCGTGTTAAGGTTAACCGGGACTGGATGAGAACCGTGGGTATATAATAAATGTTAACATTCATTATTTTGAAGGTTGAAGAAGTGAGATTGGCTTTCATATGTCTTTTCAGTAGTGCATTGTATGTAGAAGAACTGGCTGGGGCGCCTGGGTGGCTCAGTCGCTTGAGCGTCCGACTTCGGCTCAGGTCATGATCTCACGGTTCGTGGGTTCGAGCCCGCGTCGGGCTCTGTGCTGACAGCCAGCTCAGAGCCTGGAGCCTGCTTCACGTTCTGTGTCTCCCTCTCTCTCTGACTCTCCCCTGCTCATGCTGTCTCTCTCTCTCTCTCTCAGAAATAAATTTAAAAATTTTTAAAAATATTAAAAAGAACTGACTGTATAAATTTTAATAAATAAAAGCTGTTTCCTGCATTTATACAATGCCTTTTCAGAAATCAGCCTATAAAGGTAGACAGTAGGTTTATATGTTATAAGCAAGTTCATTCTCTGAATGCGAAAAAAAATTTTTTAATTCTCATTACAGCTTAGCTTCTTTTTTCAGCTAAAACATGTGTCCTTTACTTTTTCCCCCCACAGTTGATTGCACACTGACTGGCATGTCCCATGATTGGGTAGTGTTTTTAACATGGTTAGTCATTCCCATCTTTATGTCAACTGACAGTGAAACTTATGTATTATACCATTAATATCAGGCTTTATATCCTTGTTTTGCTCATTTTTTAAAGTAAAATATAGGGAGAAAACTCAGGTATTAAAATAATTAGGACAAACATTGCCTAATAAGGGTGACGTGGCGCTGCTCAAACTAAGCTCTCAGCCTGTAAGCAGTCGCCGTGCTGTAATTGAAATATTTAGCCATTGGCTAATGCACCAAAATACAACACAGGGATTTGTTGGGGCACCTGGGTGGCTTAGTCAGTTGAGCGCCCAACTCTTGATTTCGCCTCAGGTCATGGGATCGAGCCCCGTGTTGGACTGTGTGCTACACATGGAGCTTGATTGAGATTCGTATGAATAGAATAAGCAGAAATTTTGTAAAACATCATTAATCTATATTTGTAATGTACTCTAATATTTTCTGTTCTAGTTCATTAGAACGAAATGCTGGTCGCAAACCACTGAGTTGATTTCACAGCCTAATTAGGTGTGAAAAACCCCCATCCAGGTGTTTGAACCCACACCTGGGAAAGACCTGACCCAGACACGCCACCTCTCGTACAGCCTCGCTTCCGCACCCCGGGCCGTGGGCTGGCTCTCCATCCCTCCTTGCAGAGTCCTGCTCTTCTGTTCTCTGTGGTGCCACCGCTACCGTCTCCATTCCTGTCACCTCCCTACCTTGAGATCGCGTCTGCAAGCTCAGACCCTCCCAGGCAGGCACCGTCTTTGATCCTGGTGGCCAACAGGTCCCATAAACTAAATATTGAACCTTTTAATCTCTTGGAGCTGAAGAGCCCCTGGAATTTTCAGTGGGAATTTCCCATTCTCTGGCCGTTCTTCACCCTTTCATCTCCCTTCCCTGTGCTCCACCGCGTTTCCTCTCTGACCCTGCCCACCTTCCCCAGCACTGGTCTCTCAAGGATTCCCTTCTTTCCGGTCTCATTTTCTCGTCCTTTCCATTCTAGATCCCGTAACAAATGACTTTAACGACTCTTGACAGCGCTCTCACATTACACCTGCCCTGGCTTTCTCCCATAGTTCGTTTGCTGATCCGCGACCTGGTTACGCTAGCTCCCCACTTTATCCACACGTACACAAGTACACCCATACTTTCTCCTTTCAAACCCACCACTCTGCCTCTAACTTCTGAGGACAAATGTCTTTTCTGGTATCAAAGGTTAATCTTGAGAACTCTTCTAGAGGCTGTCCCATTTCTTCTAGAATTTTCTTCCATCAGTTTTTACTTTACTTTTCTATATCATCAACCTTTCCCAATTCCTCTCTCCCTGGCTTCTTATCCATAGCTTGTAGAAACATGCTATAAAATGCATTGTATTTTTAAATAAAGGAAGAAAAACATTTTTCTGGTAAAAAATGTAGCTTTCTCTAGCCCTCACTATACATCACTTAACAACCAGTTTTGACATAATGGTCTCTGATTACCATCTGCTGCTGCTTTTATTCGTTGTTCAAGATTATGTTCAAGTGCCACCACCCCCATCCACACATGTATCCGTGTCACAGAGCAGTTTTGTTAGACTTCTTTAGACTGTCTGCTGTTTAAGGATTTCATCTAATTTACCTTTGGATCTCAAACACCAGGTACTGTGCCAACAGGCATGTGGTAAGAATTTCATAAGTAATGAATGAGCGAAGTTGCAAGAGTTAGCATATCTTTTTTAAAAAGAGATATAGGGGTGCCTGGGTGGCTCAGTCAGTTAAGCATCTGACTCTTGATTTCGGCTCAGGTCACGCTCTCACAGTTCATGAGTTTAAGTCCCATGTGGTTCTAGTGCCGTACTTGCATGTATGCCGTACTTGCATGTACGCTCACATGCATGTTCACATGCTCTCTGCCTCAAAGTAAATAAACATGCATTTATTTATTTATTTATTTATTTATTTATTTATTTATTTAAAATGTCTTTTTTATGTTTTATTCTTCCGAGTGAGACAGAGCATGAGCGGGGAAGGGGCAGAGAGAGAGGGAGACAGAATCTGAAATCTGAAGCAGGCTCCAGGCCCTGACCTGTCAGCACAGAGCCCAATGTAGGGCTTGAACTCATGAACCATGATATTATGACCTGAGCTGAAGTCAGGCACTTAACTGAGCCATCCAGGTGCCCCATAAACTTTTTTTTTTTAAGTGAGACACAATGAACTCACTTCAGTAAATTTTTAGTAATGTTAAATAATTATTTTCACATTCTCATTTTATAAAGGTGATGAATTACTAAGAGGCAGTAATTTTCCCCACATAAGTTTGAGAAGTTTTTTAATTGTTACAAATATTTGTTTTAAATTATATTTATAAAACTTTGATATCAAAGAGAGTAAGCAAGAAAATTGTTACTTTCCATCCTTGTATAATTTTTAAATAGATTCTTTTTTTAATATATGTACCTGTAACAGAATCATTCCGCTCACCCACATTTTCATATGGACCTGATGGAAATGGTTTTTCCCTTGGATGCAGTAAAAATTGGAGACAAGTCTTTGGCGATGAAAAGAAATACTGGCTACTTCCCATATTTTCAAGGTAATTTATAAACTGTAGGTCTCAGAAATTACAGAATCTGTGATAGTCTCTATCTCTGGTTAAATATCTTAAGATTCAGAGAATACTGTGTAGGACATTCTGTAAGCCTTGAGAATGAAAACTCAAAATATCTTGATTATAAAAAATATTTTATTTTTCATGTTTTTTATTACATGGGGAAGAAGAGAGTTTGGGCATATATTTGAATGGAAAATAGACAAAAAAGGTGATTCGTAAAAACAGCAGTCACTTTCTCCTTAAAAATGAAAATGAGTTGTTTGAAGTAGAAAATGATTAGAATTTGTACTTACTAGCTCCATCTCAAAGATTGTATCGCAGATTATTCTATTGTGTTTTAAATATTGTGTACACTGTCCATTTTTTGTTCGGTCTTTTTTCTGTTTCATTTGGCAGATCCTTTTGCTGTATTTTTAAGTATATCAGTCTCCTCTGTGTACTTTATTGTCTCCTGTATTACAAAGTTTTCCACTCTGGATAGAACATAGACTAGTATTTTTTAAGATTATTTGCTCTAAATAGCAATTTCCATGTTGACTGGTTTGGTTGCTCCCCCCTCCCCCGCCCGTTCTTTAAAGATGTTGTTCCATTAACTTATGGCTTGCATTGTTTTTTACAAGAAATCAGCGTCATTCATCTTTATTCCACTATTTGTAAATTACTTTTTTTTTTTTTTTTGCCCTTTAGCTACTTTTAAGGTTTTATCTTTATAACTGATTTTAAGCAGTTTGATAGGATGTAGGGTTGCTTTGTATTTATCCTCTTTGGGGTTCATTAGGCTTCTTGGATCTATGAATTTACAGTTTTCATCACAATCGAATAATTTTAATCATGTCTTCCCATGGTTTTTCAGACACTCCTAAATACACGTATGTTAAGTTGCTTGGTTCTTCCCTGCTCCCCATCTTTTTTCTCTATCTGCTGAGGTTTGGATAGTTTCTATTGCTGTGTCTCTGAGTTCACTGATCTTTACTTCGGTGATGTCTGCTCTGCTGTTAAGCTCATCTAATGAATTTTTTATTTCAGATCCTGTGTTTTTCAGCTCTAGAAGTTCAGTTTAGTTCTTTTTTTAATATCTTAAATGTGTCTTCTCATTATGTCTATTTTTCCTGTTAATTCACAGACATATTTATAATCACTAATTTAAAGTGATTGCTTCACATTTTCATGGTTATTTCTAATTATTTTCTATTAACTGGTTTATTCTTACTTGTGGATCACATTTTCCTGCTACTTTTCTTGCTAGTAATTTTTGATTAGATAGTAGACATTTTGAATTTTGTGTATTAAGTTTTGCTTTCTTCCTTTGGTAGTTACTTATGTTTCTAGCATGGTCCTTTTGAGACTGTTTTAAACTTTATGTTGGGCTTAAAGTGGCATTTTCTTTAGGGAAAGTTTAGCCCTGCAACACAGGTGAGAGACAGCTGGGTTCTCTACCGAATCAAAATGTTCAGTAAGATTTCTCTCGTCTGGCTGGTCAGATGCGAATGCCTTCCAGTGCCATAGGAGCCTTATGAATTGTCCAGCTTGTACTTGCCAGTTGTTCTTTCCCCAGATTCACATGTGTAGTTTAGCATTCATCAGAAGACTCCAGGAAAATGCTGTGCACATTGCTGTAGCTCTTTCTCTGCATGTCTGTTCTTCCTCAGCTCTGTCCAGTAGATTCAAGCTCCTCAGCTTCTTGAAATGTGCATCTTTGTAGTCTCAATACAATGAGACAAGCTTGCTCAGCTTGTTTCCCCTAGTGGTGCTCAGGTCCTGGCAGAAAGCTGGGACTCACTTGATTGGTTTCTCTTCTTTCAGAGACTACAGTTCTGTGTTGCCTGCTTGGCTACACAGTTGCCAGTTACTGTATATCCTCTTCAGTTTTCTGGTTATTTGTAAGAGGAGGTCGCATTTATCAGTTAAGCCATCTTGGCTGGAAGTGAAAGTCCCTGTTTTACGTAACTTTGGTATTTTTAAAATGTGAAATTAAGATATGTCTATACTTTTTTTTAAATTGTAAACTTCTGGGGCGCCTGGGTGGCTTAGTCGGTTAAGCGTCCGACTTTCGCTTAGGTCATGATCTCGCGGTTCGTGGGTTCGAGCCCCGCGTCGGGCTCTGTGCTGACTGCCAGCTCAGAGCCTGGAGCCTGTTTCAATCTGTGACTCCCTCTCTCTCTGACCCTCCCCTGCTCACGCTGTCTCTCTCTCTTTCTCTCTCTCCTAGAAATAAAAAAAATAAAAAACATTTAAAAAAAAATTTAAAAAAAATAAAATAAAATAAATAAATAAATAAATAAATTGTAAACTTCTTAGGGCAGAGATTTTCTTCTCTTTTGTTCACTGCTCTATCCCTACCCCTTAAAATAGTACCCAGAGCATTGTAGGCATTTCATAAATACTTGTCAAATGAACAAATATATGGAACTTGCATCCTGAGTTCCATTTTGTGCCTTTATGATGTCTTAAATGATAGTGATGATCAGGTCAGTTACCCAAATATTTGATTACCTATGTTTGAGATATCATAATCTTAATAATCATCATAATCTTAATAAACATTGTAGTCTTTATTACCCAAGTTTTTAGTTATCCAGTTTCCCTGATACTTGAATACCTATGTTTGAGGTATCATAACAGGCATCATAATCTTAGTCATCATGAAAGATACTGTTAATTAGAAGAGAAGAGGCTTGTTTCTCAGTTAGACTAGTAACCCTCTAAATTAGAAAATTTTAAGAATTATTCTCTATAATGACAACTTCTGATTTCTTTATAATATGCCTTTGAAGAATAGTTACTAAATTTGACCACCTTGATTTACATTAATATGACTTAAATTATTACTACATTTTTCATTATGCAGCTTGGGTGACGGCTGCAGTTTTCCAACTCGCCTTGTGGGGATGGATCCAGAACAAGCTTCTGTTACACATCAGAATGAATATGCCAGAAGGTGTGCTTCTTGTCATTAAGTTTTCAGCATCCATTATAACGCTGTGTGTGTGTGTGTGTGTGTGTGTGTGTGTGTGTGTGTGTGTCACAGTCACATAAATGCAGTAGTAATTTGTGAGCCAACATAGATAAAAAGAGATTCTATATAGAAATTTTCTGAGAGTCAACGTGTGTGTGTACCTAATATGTTGAGGACAGCCGTGTTGTTTGTCATCCGAATCAGAACCCTTTTGATATTAAGAGAGAGAATGCTTGCTATTGCTATTAATGGTTGAACCAGGACTAGTCACAAATAACTAGAAATCTTGGGGCAAACCAGGAAACATGGCTGTCTTAAATACGCTACATCTTCCTAGAAACCAAGATATTCTTTCAAGATTTGATTCTGTTCGTTTGTATCAGCTATATTTTTTTCAAAGAAACTGGTCATGCTATCCTTCATTGTATTTTGATAAATAGATGTTAACTGCAGTGTGAAAATATTAATGAGGATTTCACAAATACAAATGTAAAATTTTTTCTCATTCATTCATCCTAGAAGATATTTTCTCAGTATTTCCATGCCAAGCAAGCTGATTCCTAAATTCAGAGAAATAGTTCCTTTTAAATGAAATTTTAAAGAAGATAGAGATGCTTCTGTCAAAGCGAAACAGTTGAAATTTATGTAAGACAGAAAGAAATTGTGGGGGAGGATGGATTATAAATTCCAAGCCAGCCTATTAATATCAGAACACAGACCTGAGAACCTACAGTCTTTGGGCCTTAGAACTCCAACTCTTACTGTGGGTCTGAACAAGTCACCTAAACTGTGTGACACTCGGTGTCCAGCTCTGTCAAATGAGGATAATCATACCTACTACCTCCAGGGGTCATTGTGAAGGTCGACATGTGCCTAACGCACCTAGCACAGTGTGTGGCCCATAGTAAGTACGCGGGGAACTCCGGCTCCCTTTTCCTTCTCCCGCTCCTCCATTCCCTCCCTCCCCGGCTCTCTTAGCAAGAAAAGTGAGTCTACACTAAATCACTAAATCATTTTTTCCCCTTAGATCTAAACTGCAGAGGTAGAAAGCAGAAAACTTGGGAAATGACAGGTAACTTTTTGTCCTGGCCACAGACCTAGATCCTCACCTTGTGCTACCCTACGGCTCTTGATTAACATATGTTTTAAAAGTTTCACACCAGCCTTTGGAGCTTTTTTCTTTTGTCTAATTGTTTTCATTGGCACTGTTGGAATATAGATTCTTGGGTCTAGAGAGCCATTGAGTTGGGGGTTGGGGGCATATTTTTCTTTTGAAGTTAGAGGTTTTTTTAGAGTGCTGAGATCTCATGAGTTGCCCTCACATATGTAGGAGAAGGAATACTAATTGGCTGCTTATTAATTATCTGTAATTGAACATTAAACTGGTTACTAAATTATTTTCCTCCTCTTTTCAGTATTGGCTCAAATCAGCCCTTTCCTATCAAACCACTTAGCGAATCAAAAAACCGATTGTTGGACAGTGAATCTCAGTGGACAGAGAATGAATCTGAAGAAGGCACTGTCCGATCAGGTAATGCTTGTCTTCTTGAAAACATTGCTTTTTCTGGTTAAAATGAAGATTAGCCAGGTTTCACAAAGGTGGAAGAATCAAAATAACATCGTATTTAAAAATACTAAGATACAGGAGACTTTTAAATAAATACCTTGCATACGGGGTGTCAGTGTTTATTGGTAGCTTTTATGGAGGAAAAAGGTTTGAGTGAAGAAGTTAGTTAGTGCTGTGTTTTGTTCTGTTCACACAATTGGAATTTTGTTGCCCAGCCACGTATTTCTTGACCTCAGACATAGAAAGTTCTTTTGGCATTCACTATTCCGAATAACATTTAAACAAGATTATTCTTTAGGGCCTGAATTTTGTTTATTTGAAAACAATTTTTGAAATGCATTGTAGTCTTTGCTGCCTTAGTATAAAAAGAGTGCACCGAATATATTTTAATCCTTTTCCTGATTAGTTAATTAGTTAATCATTTCGTGAATTACGGTCATGAATTATGGCACATACAGAACAGTTGACAAGGCAGAGGGGGGCTTTCGAACCAGGCCAGGTTCCCACCACAGTCTGGCCCTTTAACAAGCATTACAGCCTAAACTATACGCAGGGGGTTTAGTAGCAATAGTAATAACACTCTCCTCATCTTGCATTCTGGGAAAGAGGTCTGGACATTCAGATCATTTTGTACTAACTCAAGGAAATACCCTAAAATTTGAAAACTTACTATCAGAATTTCTGATTTTTTGTTTGTTTTTGGCTTTTAGCAGTGCTTAAATTATTCTCTTTAATTAGCATCACTAGGGTATTCTCTTGGATTAGTCTTCATTAGGATCGTTAGACCCCCATGCATTAGGTCAAGGGGAAAATTCATTCGTGGGCTTCACAATTATTGCTGCTGAACATCTTTCAAAGCCAGTGGAGGTTTTCACAAGTATAAGCTTTAATAAAGCCAGACTTTTGGCTCTTAGCACCTCTGGGTTCTGCAGGAGCGCATGGCTGTGGTTGATGCCATAAGCATGCTGAGTGCTGACATACGGCTCACTTTACTGTGATCGTCCATTTTACCATTTAGCCAGAAACTTAATACCTTTTTTTTTTTTTTTGGTCATGTCATATATAATTATGTGCTTACAGGGACAAATAACCATGTTACAGTGGCAGTAGAAAATTGAGTACCACTTGTTCATAGCTAACCATTTGAATAAGAGCAAGGTAAGACAGTCTAAAGGTAATTCCCTTGAACAAATGCAGTTGTTTTCATATTTTGTCATCTCAAAAAAATTTGCAACTCAATTTTTTGTACTTTTTCAATTATATCTACAAAATTAGGTAGTTGAGAAGAGATTGGAAGGTAACGGCTGCCTAAATCCCATCTTTCTTTCCACTCCTAGCACAATCTTAATAAACATGTATTGGTAGATGAATGAAGAAACTGGAAACTTCTTTGGGTTGGCATGTGGACAACTAATCTTGTCAGTAAACAGTGTCTTATTAATTCGTTTGAGAAGAACAACATGACTTTTGCCTACTGTTAAAAAATTTTTGCTCCAGAGAAGAGTGACTGATTAGGCTGCAGGAAAGACTGACGAGGTTCACTGATGTGGTTTATTTCGTTGGCAAAGGTAGAGCAAAGAGCGGTTTCCCGCCGCCGGGCCACACTGATGAGCCGTCCTGTCTGGCCAGCCCGGAGACCGTAGCCAGGGGAAATTAATTTAAAAAGCAACAGAGAGCATCCCAGACAGACTAAACATAAACCTTGGGACACCTAGTGAGACTGATGTGACTCAGTTGAAGTGTGAGGGGTGTGCTGCACTGCGTCCGTCCAGAGGCTTCACAGCAGGGAGCTCGCTGGCGGCTCGGCTCGCTCAGGACCCAGTAGCATCTGAAGTCTTCCTGCATAACAGGTGACCACAGACTTAGCAACTTAGGACGATATCCATTTATTATCAGTTTGTCTGTGTCAGGAGTTCATTGTTTCAAGGAGTTCGCATCCGGCGTCTCAACTAGGGAACATCTGCTTCCCCCGCTCAGCAGTTTTCGTTCGCGTGCAGCTCCTCACGAAGGACCTGGCGCCCGTGTCCCAAGTAACAGCGGCCCGAGGAAGAGCCGGCAGAGTCCGAACGGAGGCCGGGGCGGGCTGGCGCCGGGCTGGCCTCTGAGCATGCGGGGTTGTGTGGCCTGTGGGGACCTGGTCCCAGGCTCCTTCACGCGGGCGGGGGAATGTCTGACGCGAGTGGCTGCTGAGAGTCCTGGGCAGCCTGTGAATCCCGCTGTGGCTGCTTCCCCGCAGCCGGCCGCGGCCTGAGGCGGCGCACGTAAACATGTCTTCGCGCGGTACGTCCAAGTCAGCGGTAAGGGAGGCCCAGAAGAATCCACCTCTTTTAAAATGCTCTCTGGTTTGCTTCAGAGGAAGAAAGCCAGCACTACCCCTTACTCACTGTTTATAAAAATCTTTGTTATTCTTACGATATTAGTTGTATTGAAGTGTTTGTTTCCTGTCTTATTTTAGCAGCTTTATACCTTAGCCCAGAGAGCCACTTAATAAATCTGATTTTCAGAAATATAAAATTAAGTTTTAACCAATAACTCAATTGTTTCTGGTTTTGTAGGTTTATAAAAATGTATTATGGACTGATATTTTCAGTTTTATTTGCAAGAAAATGATCAATGGAATGAAATAATTGAAGTATAACAGAAGATATATTTTTTCAAAAAGGAAGCCTTTGTACAGATCGCTGGATTCACAGAAGCACTACTCCGGAGCAGGAAGATGCCTTAATCTTACATAAACCCATTTGTGCTACATCGACTTACTGCTACAAAAGTGACTTGATTTTACTTTGGAAATAACACCTATTATGAGATACTACAGTGTGAGCTATCAAAACACATGTTAACACAGCATATGTATTTTTCTGACACCTGAGTTATATTGTTAGAGTTGTTCCTTTGTATCCATGTAAGTTTTCACTCCAGAAACACAAGCTGAGAAGTTGTCTTAGGTGAAGCACGCGTAGGGCAGTGCGGTGGCTGGTACTGTGGCTTGTGCTGACTGTGTAAGGAAACGAAAATAACTTTTTTTTATTGGGTGTTTGCTAATTTATAATTACTGTTTTATACTTTTCAACATTTTTAATAAAGTTTTTTTATTGTTGGCTATAAAATAACACTCAGAAAGATTCAGGTATCTAAATGCAGTTATTTAAAACATGGAACACATTTGTATAATTCATTGAGGGCTTAGTTCTAAACATTAATACGACCGTGTAACGTAGTGTTGTGCCCAAGGCTTAAATAGAAATACTTTTGGTTTTCTCTGCTTTCAAATTGCTTTTTGGGTGAACTTCCGTGGGTATTTTTAGGGGCAGGGAAACACAAAGGCACATGTGCTGTAGAGAAATACTGGACATCGAATAGTGGCAGTGGCTAGAAGAAAAGTAAAGAGGGAGATGGGCAGGTATTGTAAGCTGTTAAAAATTATTCATAGTCCTGCGGTATTGAGAGTACAGTGTGCTTTGACCTTCAAGTGTCAGTTTAGGTAATTACTAAAAATTACTTTGAAACTTCTTAGCAGTAATCCTGTGAAAGGGTAACCAGTGACTTACAATGCAGTTTGAAGGTGAAACTGCTTAGCGTAATTCTGCTTTCAGGAAAGAAATTCTAACCTGACTGGTCCACTCACAGCTCCAGTCTGTGAGCAGTGGGTTCCACTCTTCGTGCCAAATTTGAAAGCTGACTTCCTAAACAGCAGCCCCTTCCTGCCTGGTAAACATACATACCCCTTTTCCTTTTGAAATCCAATCTAAGCGACAGGAATTGTTGCATTAATCCTAAGGGAAAATACTGTATCCTGTAAAGGGGAAACAACATAGAAATGTTACTCCTCATTTATCCTGTTTACTCATATGTACACACACGCCCCAAAATGGTTGCTTGCTTCCAGTATTGGATAGAGCTGGGTCTTAACCAGCGTCTGTAAATATTGACCATTACAGTTTATCTGTCTGTAAAATAGGATTGGGGGAAGGGGTATTATGCATGGGTTGGACTGGATGACCTCTCTCTTTGATTCCTAATTTTGCAAAAGTAACCTTATATTTCATTCATCCAACAAATATTTTGGGGATACCTTCTCTGTATGCCAAACATATGCTATAGGGATAGCTCTGTAATTTCCTAATGCAGCATAAATTGTATAGTCAGCTGTTCCAGATCTTCAGTTTATAGGATTTGTCTAATTCCATTGGCTGTGCTAATATTAGCTTTTAAGAGGAAGTAACGTTTTTTTCCTTTGAACCAAAGGAATGAGTTACTTTGAAAATAACAGTTTATACTATTATAATGGTTCTACCTTTGTTTGAACTTTGTAGTCCTAATACTCTTGACTCTAGAAAACTTTTAAGTATGAGACTTAAGGGATTAAAAAAAATCACTTCACTTTGGCAGTTTATGTATTATAAAGAGATTGTGAATGTTTAAACTTGCTTGGCGACTTTCAGAAATGTTGTCCCGGTAGTTTTTGTGTAATTCTCTACATTTAGATCAGAGGATTTGCATGCACCTGATTCACAGTTGAGGAAACATAGTTTTCCCCTTTAACCTATTCATGCACTTTTGTGGTGATGTAATCTTTCTCTCTTAACTTTTATTTAATGTCATCTTTAGTAGTATAGCAAACACCTTTTCAGAAATTTTCACTTAAAGCCTTTGCTTTCATTACCTTTGGTTTAATTTATGGCCCACATTTTGCCACATTCTAGGGATTTGGCGGATTTATCCATACGTATTAGCGGCCATTTGGCAAGGGCCTACAAATGGCGTGGGAGTCCGGGCAAGGCTGCCTCTTTGGTATTTCAACTGGTGTTGATTGTTTTGTTATCAGCTCTTTAGGGGAAAAGGTCAAAATGAAGGCCTGTCGAAATTTATTAGTACCCTGTCTTTGGTCCTTCAAACACCTTGATATATTTAAGGAGAATAAAGTTGAATTGCAGGTCCTGCCATTGCCATTAAAAGCAACCTCCACCAGGGTCTCGGTTTTACCTGGGTCCAGACTTACCCGAATATTCAGTACCTGAGGCATCTGACCAGCATCAGTATCCAAACCAAAGAGCAGCCGCAGTACAGTAGTTATTAAACATGAACACGTTTACAGAGTTTAGTTCCATCTTTATGTGTGGATTTTTTAAGCCCTTTTTACGTATTGAATGGTTTTGATCCAGTGCGTCCTAAGTGAATTGAACTGTAAGGTTAGTTTAAATCAAACATGCAATGTTTACTTGAATTTTACTTCTTTTCGAAAGATTTTGACTATGTTTACAAGATTGTTTAAATTAAAGATTATCAGCCGTGAGATGTCCATTCATTAATCTTTAAAGCAAATGTATATTAAGGGCTTAGGCTCTGTATATTTGGGGCACTGATAGACAGTGACTTACAAATAGGTTTTGCTTACATTTTGTTTTAGGACTAGCACTGCTATCAATGGAAACTATTTTTAACTAATCTGTTATTAAGAAATTAATCATATTTTTGCATTTCAGCCAAAATAAAGACCATACTGATAACTTGTAAGATACAGGTGATATGTAAACCTGAAATCCATGTGTTTCATATGATCTGAACTGTATTTTCCAGTCTAAATTAAAAATGCAATATAGATTCAGAAAGGTCCATATTTTTCTAATGACTTCACTTTATATTATTTTGCTGGGTTGCATAAAGGAGGAGGGAATTGTATTTCTATTAAAAGATTAAGAAAGCTATTAGTCAAGTTTATTATATTTGTACTTGATTGCAGATGAGGCTATATGCCCATTTAGAAGAAAAGATGGACACTATTTTAAAGTGATCTTTAATATGTTTTTATAGAAACAAATTTGAAATAGTTTATTTTGGTTGTCTTTGCTTATCAAGTACCATAAGTCCTGTATTTGTTTCTCATAAGTATAATCCTGGACCATGACTTAATGTTAACTCTTTGCTTTGTCTTTTGGATGGCCTAACCTACATTAACATGAAGGCTGAACATTTTTAAACTTTTTTTTCAAAAATCATAATATTTACTTTATTAATAAAAATAAAGTCTTGTATTTGAACAGGTTTTTTGTTGTTGTTATAAAGTGGTATATATCAAATGAGAGAATATTATTTTGATCCTTTGGGGAATTTGGTAAAATAGTGTTTAGTTAGAGAATTGGCTAATAATTTGGGGTAGCCACATCTAAGACACATACTATTTGAGTGCAAAAGTATTACATAGGCTAGAGATTGCTTTATTCAGAAAGTATTAAGTGTGCTTTTTCTGAACATGCTATCTTTCAATTCAGAAGTCACTTTAGGATTGTAAGTACCTTGGAAACCCTGTAAAAGTTGAATTGTGGTTGTCAGAATGCTGAGTAATGGGCTTTATCTTGTGAATTCTTTTCGACAATTGCATTCTAATTCCCTTCCCAATCAACAGCTTTGTTATGTGAGGCCATTGAATAAAACAGGAAGGCTCTGAGAGCTGTGATTCCCAGCTTTTAGACTAGCAAAATTTCAAAACATTTGACGAGGCCAGTAGAGATGAAGCAACATTTTTTGTTTTATAGGGGGCGGTAATTTAGAGCACCGTGTTTGAGGTAGGAACGGGGGTAGACTACTAACTGGCCAAAAGGCCATTCTGACACCCAGAGAAGTAATGATATCACATTGGCCTTATTTTCCTCACTTCTCATAAGTTAGTTTTTTGGAACCATTCTGGAGAAGTTGACTGACATTGGCCTCTTTTACCTGTTTTACACTCATGTACCCCAGAATCTAGAGGGATGAAAACTAACATTTAGTTTTTTCTGTGTGACAGGTTTTTTATGAATGTTTTAAGAACCCTATGAGGCTAACCTCATCTCCTTTAACCCCCCACATCAGTGCCTCCACTTGATACAGAGGATTTAAGTGCTGTTCCCACTCCTCAACTCACCAGTGCTGGCCTTCAAGCAAGAATGTCACCTCTCAGCCCATTCTCCACGCAAGGTCCTTCTCTTCTTCAGGACGCCCGGTCCAGGAGCACGCTTCAGCATACTTGCCCGTGGCCCCAAACCAAGTTCGCATCTCTGTGCTAACTACTAATTTAATTCAGCCATGTATTAGACATATGTACCAGCACGTCAACTCACTAGATTATAAATTCTTGAGGACTTTTTTTTTTTTTACTAACTACCCACAAAATGAACACTGAAGTTCAGAAAACAACTGGAGTAAAGAATTTCATGTTCATTACTCTGTTGTGTCCGAGTTCTCAAAAGTGAGCATCAGAGCCTATAAAATTATCCCAAACTTGAAAAACACTAGTCAACCTTTCACACATTTTAGCGGAAGTGTACTTTTATGGTGCGGCATCATTGGAGAGCAGTTTGGCGATATCGAGTCTTCAAATGTCCATATTTTCTGACCTGGCAGTTCCCTTTATAGATTTACTTCTGCATTATGAGCAGTGCATAAGGATATCAGGAGCAGAGCTGTTTAAAGCGACAAGAGACCGGAAGCCGCATGTCCCACCACCATTTTGTGGTGACATAGTGTGAGAGACTATCTGAAGGGTAGACGAGGAGCCGTTAGTGCCGTTAGTGCCGTCTCCGGAGAAGAACGGGGCTCAGGAAGAGGTTCCGTAGTGCCACTGTGTGCGCTTTCATACCGGTTTGTTTTTATATTGTGTGCATATGCTACTTTTAAAAGAGAAAAATGGTGGGTGAGACATTCTGTAGATCCGTGAGGGAGAAATGGGTTGTTTGATACATGATGCTGGACCAACATGCTGGCCGTTTGGGAAAAAATCCTTCACATCTTACATCAGAACAAATTTCAGTTGGCTCATGAATTTACATGTTATATAATGAAAACAAATACTCCAAAAAAAAAAATGGGTACAGGAAGGGTATTTCTCAGCGGGCACAACAATGGTGGTCATGAAGAAAAGCAGATTTGAGGTCGTGCAAACTTCAGAAAACGAGCCCTGGTAGGAAAAGGAGATAGAACAAAAAGAAATTCACAAAAGAAATAAGGGTCAATAACAGCATATAAAAAGATACTTTGCTTCATTAATTAAAGAAATACAAGTGAAAGACCAAGGGGATTATGGTGCCTGCGGTAGGTGCAGCCAGGTTGCTGGAGAAGCGTTTCGGCGGGAACATAAAGTGGCCTCACTTCACGGAAGCGGTAATTTGGCGACACGTGTCCCAGGTTTCGCTGCGCATCGTCTTCGTACTTAGCGACGGGCGCGAGGCTGTTGAGAGGCTCCTGTAAAAGCACCGCATCGGGAAAACCGGCGTCGGTTGTGGGAAATC